TCGAAGTAGACGAGGGGCCGGCACGTATACCAGGCCTGGAGCAACCCCTACCAGACAGCATCGACATACGACGAGGAGACAGTTTCCTCGCAGTATGGGACCAGGACGATTGGACCCTGGTTGAGAGAACCGCAGGGGACCTCTCCTTCCGGGGTGTTCTTCAAATTCCTACCCCCATGGAAGTGCCCGCCGAACTCCAGAGGAACCCACGGGGCTCCCTACATGCCCCAGGCGTGCCCAAAGCCAGACCCCCACTTCCACCCACTGCACCCACCGATGGCACTGCTGACAGCGGGGATGACACAGAACGGAGCTGGCCCAGTAGCGATGGGAGTGAAAGCGGGGGACCCCCGGAGGAGGACGACAGAACGGAGCTCTTGCAAGCACCAGCAACCCCAGCACCGCGGCATCCAGCAGGGACCCCACCACAGCCCTGGCACCAGAAGCAACCACAACCACTGCCACCACAGTACCACAACCACCACAGCCACCGCGCACACCCTAGACCAGGCAGCAATGGTCCGCACCTCGACCAAGACACAGACACCGGGGACTCGTCCTTCACTGCCCTAGTACAAACCAATTCGCAGCGGCACAGCGCGAACCGCACGAGCCCCCGCAGGCCAGTAGAAGCAACCAGGAGCAACCACAACCACAACCGCCACAGTACCACAACATCCGCCACCTAAGGGACCTGCTCCTACCCACATGCACAGGCCCGAGTACAGGAGGAGGGGTGAGTAGCACAGCTCACCAGGGTCCCACAGCTCCCGCAGAACCCCAGTCCATGGCACACAGCAGCTGTCAGCCACCACGCGGGCCAGCATGGCTTCTACCCAGCGAAGACACCCAGGAAGCCATGCTCCAAACCATCATGGCGATAGAAGCCGAAGCAGCCGAACAGGAGAGGAGGACGGCTGAGGGCCCCCCACCCACCGCAACACAAGCAGACAGCGAAAGCACTACACAGCCGGCCGCTGAGCACCTGCTCCACACCCTCGATGCCGGCACCGACTGTCACACGGCAACGGCCAGTACAGCACCCGGCGGCCAAACTAGCGGGAGAACAGCAACGGGGCACCCCGCGATAACCACTACCACCTCAGCACAAGCACCTCAACAACCACCAGCCGCTGACACCCAACACACAATGGCGAACAGCGAAAGCCCCGCCGCTAAGCGACGGAAGCTCGCCGGGGAAGAAGCCACGGAAACCCTCCGAGCAGCGACAGTGCAGGACAGAGAAGCTACGCCATTTATGATCCTGCGGGCTCAGCAGCTACTGCAGCAACTCATGCCCACACTAGTAGGGGACCAGATCCCCTTGGCAGCCGAGGCGCTGCACTTGTTGCAGCAGTGGACTACAGCCTTGTGGCAGGAACCCATACAGCTGGTGCCAGAGGACATGGCCGAAACCATTCGATGGGACCCACCTGAGCCAGCAGCTGTGCCGCACCACGACGACCTGCTTTGGAGACCAGCCGGGGACTCTACAGACGTGGACGGGGACCGGAGAAGGCACATGACAGAGGTGCGCAACGAGGCCTTCCGGGGATGGAATGCAGCAGATATCCCCGGCACTGACACAGAAGACGAAGCGTGGGGACTGCCGCGCCGCCGGCGCACAGCTGTTGGAGGGGACCCAACGACTCCCTCGATGACCCGATCCCGCCGAAGCTTCCAACCACGAGCCCAACTGAGTGTGGCGAGTGAGGAGAGCCTTGAAGACAGGGCCACACACCGTAGAAGGAGAATGCACGCAGCATTCGACCCGAACTAGATCGGGGGAGCCCCGTGCACCGGCACAAACAACCTTACTTGTGTGGCTGTAGCAGTAGTGTAGAGGCTCTTGTTGACACTTGGGAATGTGCCGCAAAAGGGGATTTTTAGAACAACAAATGCTACGCACACCACCACAAGCTCCCGCTCACGGGGACTCCGGTACAGTTTGTGGCGTTCCCCTACTGTTGCTTTAACCTGGTACCCCTCTGTTTCCTGCCCCGACAATACCGGAGCCCCGCCACAGCACCACCACCACCACCAGTGCGGAAACCCAAGCTGTGTGTGACTTCCCCCTAGTGTGTTGAGGCTGTACCCTCCCCTTACGCTGCTTCCTTCGGGGACCCGCACTGACACAAGCAACATAGGATCCACCAAACCAGCACCACAACAAGCAAGAGAGCTCAAAGCTGTGTCCAGAGAGGAAGACGTTCTACATTGTTGCACTAAGGAGCCGTTCAACTAGCACCGTAACTCGAGAAGGAAGGGCATCGGTACTTGTTTGGCAGCCAACTCGGGGGCACAAGCAGACACGCCGTAGAAACCTACGGATTACCTGCACCGACACACGCGAGCTCGGCCAGGCGGGGACTACATGGTTTGCATTAAGTGGACTGCGTGTGTTGCATAGGGGATCCCACCTGGCCAAGCCGCGTCGCCAAGTCTCACTCAAGACACGAACAGCGGCGTAGCGCTCGCGCGCAGGGGGTGTAGGGGCCTTCCCTACCTCCCACACGCCTTGCAAGCAAGCAAGCAAGAACGAGAGAGTGGACAACGGCGTAGCACTCCCGCGCGGGGGTCTTGGGGTCCTCCCCCTGACCCAGCTGACCCTAAACGCCAGGCAAGCAAGCAAGCAAGCAAGAGCAACAGTGGCGCTGGCCGGAAGGTCAGGCTCAGCGCACGCGTCTTAAAGTCCTAAAGATAACAAGAGCGCTATTGAAGCAGAATTTCGGCGCAGAGGCTGGCAAAAGCCTGACCATGCCTGACCACCTTACGTGGCGACAGGTGGAAGGATGGCTGTACGACCCGGCGAGGAGAGAGATAGGACATTCAAGCCATCCACAGGGGAACCTGATGGACCCAGACTGGGCGGAACACCGCCTACCCCTCACTCCACAACAGCAGGGGACCACCACCGACCGCCGCGGCTCGCCAGCTTCGGCGGACCCCCCCACGAACCGCACAGCCACACCGACCAAACGCAGACGTGAACGCAGGCACCGTGGCAGCCGCGTCAGCCCAAGGAGACACTACCAGCACCACACCGGCCACGAGACCGGCCGCAAGCATCGCGAGCACAGGCCGTCACACCAGCCAGGTCAAGCACAGGAGGCACGGAGAGGCACGGCCCCGGACAGCAAGCTAACCGGCCCAGCCAGAACAGACAGAGGGTGCACATCCCCCCACATCGAGCACTTGCGACTTGGCTCGAATCGGGGACGCCCCCGACCCTGCCGCCGACATTCCCTTTGAGACGGAACAGCAACTTGCTGGCCTTGTACCGAGGCAACGGGCGATGGGATATGCGTGTGTTGATGACAACAAAGGGGAGCCGTCCCTACATCGCTCGGGGAATACATCCGCAGGTACTCCTGGAGCCGACGAATGCGGCTGGGCAGGAGTTGTTCTTGCCGGAGGGTGTGTTGCTCCTCGCAACACCCTTAAGAAGCCTGGCATCCTGCAGCAGGCATCCTGCAGCAGACAGAAGTGGGACCTGACCACGAGCCTGCTGCGCACTGCATGGCTAATTGAAGTGAACGAGGCCCCCTCTCTAGGGCGCCGGGACGCAGCCAAGAACTCCCGGACAGCATAGATGTCCGAGGCCAGGCAGACACCAGGTTCCCAGGTGTTGACCCAAAAAGTGTGTGAGCCGCGCCCGCCACGGGGGTTTTCACAGCGAGGACCAGCGGCACAAAGGCATCCTCGAAGGGACACACAACCGCGGCACAGGAGATGACTATCCACGAATGTGCAGTGACACAGAAGTGAGCTGTGGATCACTACGAACAGATTCACTTCGAGAAGCCGTCCGAACCTTACGTATGGGGGCACCCGGGACAAGAAACAGGGCAGCAAACCTCGACACTGGGTACCTGGCACTTTGCGATCAGCTGAGCCCAGCGTGCCACCAAAACAACGAGATGGGCAACATGGGGGCTCACATCTTCAAGAAGGACTCGCACAAAAGTTTACGAAAGCAGCGAGACGGATGTACAAAGTCAAAAAGGGTGAGAAGAACTACAAGTATGCAGTGTGCAACTCCTTCGATATGATACTCAGTTTTACCTTGCAAGCACCTAAACCCTCCATCTACCCTCTATTAAACCCTAAATGCCCATCATTTGGGACCATATACCTGAGGGTACACGGAGGGTTCTGCCAGACGGGAAACCCACAACCGCGAATCAACATGAATCAACCAAGAAGGAGACCCAGTGATGCCGCAGCTTCCGTTGCTGCAGCGAACCTCATATTGAACCTTCAAGGGGGCACAAACTCAAATCCTCGTACCTTCAAAATGGTGTGCCCGCAACAGACATAAGGACCGCGCGCCGATAATTGAGGCACTTTTTTCCCTTGTGACCCCTGTTCCTGTGCTACAACAAGTTCATGCACAAACAAACGGCCCCACCCGCCGCCTCCGCAGAGGAACCAGTTTTTCTGTACAGCCGAGTCCATCAGGGATGGGGTTGCTTTTTGGAGCGGGCCACAGGATCTACCTGTGGTTGGTTCAAACCCCGAGCAAAGCAAAGCTCGCGGCTTCAAAAAGATGATGGAGCTAGAGGATAGAGATAGAGATGGATTGTGAGATTGTCAGCAGTGGAGAACGTTCTTGGCAGATTTGTGGCTGGCTGTCGCAGGGCTTCAGGAGTCTCAGAACCAGTGCACACTCTGCACACTCGCGTACAAGGGGTAAGTTCCCTAGCTTCCTTGGTTGCGGCAAACAGAAGCAAGATTTCCACACGTGCAAACATCGGTGTGTTGGCACACCTGGATGCTGGGAGCATTGACAAAAGACTGCAGCCTGGTGGCCCCAGTCCCTTATGAATTCCATGGGTCAGGTGCTAGCAAGTCTTACATAATCACTCTTGTCGGGGCCGGGTTTGCAAGACTGCAGGTTTTGTAGTTGCCTCCACAACAATACCGGGTGGCGGCGACACCCCTCGATCCTCGTGACCTTCAGAACGCAACACAAGACGGTGACCTCCCGCTACTGCGAGGCTGCCCAACATGATGACGCAGCTTTGTGGTCGGCCGCCACAGTTTGTGGCCAAGGACCTTGCAACTGAAGCTTGGTTCTAAACTCCATCCGTTCCAAACGGCGCTGTGGTCGAGGAGGGCAAGAAGTCCGAGTTTGCAGCCGTGAGGGGCACAGCCTCGTCGCAATCTTGTCCAGACTGCAGTGGCAGTTGGTCATCGTGAGGTATGCTTCCCCCCGGAATCCATCAAAGAGTTTGGGCCTCACTAAATACAGCTGCTTCGGAGTTGGAATCAATACTGTACCGGACGGTCCGGTAGAAGTAGCTGCATTCTTCCGACAGTTATTCGCCTGCAAGACTTGTCAGTCCCAGAACTCAAGAGCAATGCCGCAATTGCACAGGTCCGTAGATTTTGCTGATTCTTTGCCCCATAGAGCTTTCGGTCAACTCAGCTTGGGAACGACACTTCTGCCAATGATGTTCAGCCCTGAAGGTTAGGTTATCGAGGGGGCTCCTGTTGATGATTCTTAGAAGACGGTGACCTCACAGGGTGCCGAGCTCAGGCTTCAGCTGCCACTGGGCCCGGAACCTGCCCAGCCGCCTGTCCTGGCTGGGGCCAGCGCCTCCGTCAGCCTTGCCCACGCGCAGTGGCCTCGTTGCGTCGTATTTATTTCGGATGTGCTCGAGTCCGAGTCCTAAACTCTAAAAAAGAGAGCGGCCGCATGCACCTCTTATGGACATGAAGGAAATTACTGACGTGGACGGTCACTGATGAACTAAGCCTGACTCAGGTTCAGCCTGGGCGCACTCCTCGTGGACTTCGCAGGAGAGGTCATAGTTGTGTCCCCAGACCTCCCGTCAGATTTCGAGGCTCGCAAGGAGTCATTCGCTGCTTGCAGGTGGTTTGAGTCACCAAGGCTCGGCCGAGCTCGCCGTATCAAATCACCTTCTTCCTTCCAGAAAAGAACACCCGAAACGAGGAGGACTGTGTGTGAAGATGTTCGGATTCTCAATGTAGTACCAGAAGAACACCTGTTGAAGGAGAAGCAGAAGCAAGTGAGAGGCTTGCTCGAAGCTCGCAATCCGCTGGGCCTTGGTCCCAGCCGGGCGGACTCCGTGTACTGCATTGAAGTAGCAGATGTCTGAGCTCGGGCGAGTCTCAGGCTTTCCCTGCATCTTTGCTGGTTTTTGTTGCATGGTAGCTTTGATGTGCCAGGCTTTCCCTGTCACATGAACGCCGGTGATGACTTCTTCTGCAGATGCCCTAAGTGTCCATCGCATTCGCGGCAAGTGTTACGCTGTGCTGGCCCATGAGATAGGATCGCCAAGAATCACTGCAAGGTGTAGTGAGTTCCAAGGACGGCCGCCGGTAGGAATTAGAATAGCCAAGATTTGTTTTGAGTAAATTCCATGTCTCGAGGCACGGCTTCCAGCCTGCAGCTGCTGAGCTCAAGGCTCGCGGCTCGCAGATGTCAGTTGGGAGGAAGCGCAAAGGAAATAGATCGCCGTGCCTGGTGCTTCTACAACTGGAGGACAGCTGTGCGCACGACAGGCCCGACTTGCAGCTTGCACCATGGCAACAACACGGCTGCAGCATTCAAGAGCATGGCATGGCTGTGGCTTCTGTTCTGGCATGTTGTATGCATGGCTGTGGCAGGTGCAGAGGTCAAGCAACAAACAGGGTTACCATTGCTCTTAAGTGTTAGCAGCTAGCAATGTCCTGATAAAGAGATCTCACCTGGATGGACAAACAAGCCATCACGAGAAGACACTCTCGCTGCACGCGTACACAAGTGAGCTCCATCAGCAGACCGCCGAAGAAACCAGTGAAGGAACCACTGCTGATTAACCGGAGGAGAGAGCCAAATCCGGCTCAAGTGCGGCGTCCCGATATGGCCATCTGCTGTTGGGTGGCTTGATTGCTGGCGCACCGTGCTAGGGCTAGATCTATTACAGTTCAAGCGAACAAGCTGGAATTGATCCAGCGTGTCGACTTAGCAAAGCGGAAGTCAGCATGCTCTTAGCTGCGATGAGTTTAAGAAGATGGCGATGCTCCCCCCGGATAACAAAGTAAATGAACAGCATGGCACGACAGAGTAATAGCAACTTATTGCGCTACGACGAGTTGTACATTGCGGAAACTCATTGTGCCAGTCGATGTGCCAGCCGAACAACGGCTTCACAGCCTGTAGAAGGAAGGTTACTTAGCAGACGCAGGGGCACCAGACGATTTGACAGGATGGCGTAAGCAGAACATGCAAGTGCAAGCCGTGCCGGAAGGGCCACCGGCTCTGCACAGCAACATGTTACAAGCTGGAAGGTGTGACCATTTTCAATGCAGCAGTGAGCTCAGTTTCCCGACATAGCAGATCGGTGGCCTTCACATCCGGTCTTAGGTTGAGATCCTATATGCGATCGCCGCCCTTTGTCACGAGCTTAGCAGGCTTAGCAAGTGTGCACGGCTCAACTTGCGTTACGACATACCTGGATGCTGTGGTCTGCGCAGGCCCGGACCGAACCATAATGTCCGTCTGCTTGGGCCCGGGGCCTGCAGGCGAGAAAGTGTACGAGTGAGAAAGAGCTCTTGTGTTGGCCCGACAAAGTACAGGAGAGTCTCCTGGAGCCCCGGAACACATTATTGCCGTGAAGGCACCGTGGGGTGTAGTGAACACCGTGCTGTGCGGGCGACATCTGAGATGCGGTGAGGTCTGGGGCTGGGAGGTAAGCCTCCTTGGAGACCATCGCGGCGACGGTTCCGGTGTGCCTGCGGAAGCGGCGATTGAGGCTTGAGAAGTTCGTAGAAGTGGCTCTGGGATTGGCGACTGCCTGATGTCCCACAATTGGCCTTTGTTTTCTGTTGCCAGTGTTAGGCCATGTCTGCGGTGCGGAAGAGCATCAAGGATGCCATGAATGTCACGCGAGAAACTCTGCAGCCAGACAAGTGGGAGATCCTTTCCGGCGGAGTTTTGAGCCAGGTCGGAAGAGGAGACGCCGGCGTCATCCTTGTCCTTGTTGCTTTGTGGAGCACGGGATCCGCATGGTCCGACTCCGCATAGCCGCATGGCACCAAGGCCGGAGACGATGTCAGGTCACGCAAGCTCCAGAGAGAGAGGCCGCAGCTCTAGTGCCTCCTCCATCTACACTGGCAGAACTATCGCTCTTCGCTCTTTCGCGGCAGGTTCGAAGCGGAGATGCCCTCGAAGGTCTTGGATGGGCTCCTCAGCCTGGTGGTGGAGGTGAGCCGTGGCAACCAAGTGCAATGCCCAGGCTACTGGGGCTAGAGTGCTCGATCCGGCCGAGGCCTCCGAGCATCTCGCCAGCACCATCGAACCAAAGATGCGAATGTCGGCCTCGCTCTTGGATCTTGGGAACCCCCACCATGTCAGCGCAAGCTCACCTGATTCCAGGAGTCCTACGTGGGATCCTCAAATTCTGCCGCCAACAGAATGAGGATGGTTGTGCCAACTCGGGCAGGCTCGAGGACGGAAGCGTCGAGAGAAGGCGAACAAGGCGATTCATTGACGGTTTGCTGTGACAGTTTGATCCTGAAGCAGCAGTCTACTATGTACTTCTTAACAGCCCGTCTGCCGTCCCCCCAATCCTGTGGCATCGTCTCTTATCCGCCTGATGCATTAGCCTATAGCCCTGTGCTTGGGCTGCCGGATATGATGCTCGTGCTTCTCACCTAGATCTGTGTAACAATTGTTGGGGGGGTAGGGGGAAGTGTTTTGTGGGTTTGGTTTATACGGGATTTATCCGGGTTTAAGGTTTACCCTAAAACCTAAACCTGTGCGGAAGTGAGTGAGTAGGGTTGGATGCCAAAGTGTCGTCCTTGCCGCCTGCTCTGGAAGAGATTCAGACAAAAACCGTTCAATAAGACACAGCACGGGTAGCACAGCTTCAATACGGTGTTGGCGAATGTGTTGACGGCTGTCTTGTATGGTTGCATGCCTGCAAGTGCATCAGCAGGCGACATGGGCAGAGGTCCTTTTGGCCGGAGAGGCAAAGTAGCCAGTATTGGCCAGTGAATACTGTGCAGAGATTGGCAAACGGCATCGCATCCGCAGGAGACCGGTTTCGTTGACTTCTTGCGACCGTTGGCTTGGCTCTCGGAGAATTGCTGGTTGAGCGCCTTAAACCGTGCCTACACTTCGTGAGGAGTTAAGCACGGACCCTGATGTGGTGTCGAAGCGCGAGAGTCGGAGGGTCAGGCCTTTGACGGAAGTCCTGCGACAGTGGCGAATGAAGTGTGTGCGATGTTGAGAAGGATCGGCCAAAAATCGCCAAAATTCCGTTGCCCTGTTTGCCAAGAGGCCAGCGTTACTGCAGCTTGTATGATTCATGTGCAGGCATCCATGAAATGTGCGTGCATGCGCATGTGCTCTCGTCACTCGTCACGTTGACTTTAGTGTGCAGCCACAGTCAAGTGTAGCTTTTCTCCAACATTCTCCAGAGGACAGTCGCCCCCAAAAGGATGCACTTCTGGTATTACCCTATATAATGCACTTTGTGTTTTGCCAACTGCTTGAGATGCGTCACCGCTGTCGCATCCGTTGCTGCTGTTGTTCCTTCTTCGTCACTATTGCGAAAGGCAAGCAGTGCCGCCCGTCGCATGGCTGTTAGCGGTGGGCGCTGTGGACTTGAGAATGAGCACTAGTTTTCTGATTTACGGCACGGCTTCTTGCGGCCGGGTTGTGCACCTGGAGCACCGCTGAGCTTTGGTGCACGGGTAACCTTCTTACGTGGATTTGCTCATCGTATTCCATCGCCTCGTATGTGTTTGTTCTGACGACGCTGCTCCGTGTTTCGGTCTGTCGAGGTGTCCCCAGTCGTCAGTCTGCTACGCCATTTTTGGTTCTGGGCCCCCGTGCTTAAACTTCAAGATCCCTTCCGCGGGGAAGAGGGTGCCCTGACTGTGAAGGGTCTGCTGACAATGGATGGCACGGCGACAGCAAGGGCCATGTATTAGAGTTTGTCGGTGAAGGCTCCTCGTAGAGCTCTCAGCGGACTTTGAAGGCTGGGAGGAGCCAGCGGCTAGCATTGGCAAATATTGCTTTCGCTCTAGTGTTGGACCTTCGTACGGCGTCTTCATTCCGACCTGAGAGCTCTCGTGCTCTTTTGTTCTTTGTACCGTCGAAACCCTGAGACTGATGGCCCTCGGCTACTCGCTGGGTATGCCCCAGTGCGGATGCACCGAACAGGCTTTCCAGATATGTGAATGTGAAGCTGTGCGTGTGGCGCCTCCGTGCGTTGGCCGGATCAGTTGGTGGTTCAGCTAGCACGTCGTCTCGTATGTCGTGTTTCAGCTTCTATCCTAGGAATCACGCATGCTCTCAGTGCAAGAAGGAGGGCAGACCGTTCCGGCTCGAAACTGTTACTGCGTACAAGTTTGCTGCATGGCGCATCTTGCACACGCTGACTACAGTACATGGCCTCAGCACTTTGTGAGTTGTCGGTCGATTTCATAAGCCGTCTCGTCTCGTGCTAAACGGTGATGTTCGATGGTCATCATGGCATCATGGTGTTTTTGTCGCATGCTATGTGGGGCCCAAGGTCCAAGCTCGCACATTTCTGGGCATGTTGTGGGTCGTGGTGCTGGAGCTTTGTGTGTGCTGTGCGATGGACAACTGATGCTACGAGGGATTGCAGGCCTGGCTCTCACATGGCGCCGAATCATGAATTGGATGCATTGCTAACCAAACTGACGCCAGAGTTCTTAATTTGGAAGCGCTGCAGAGGCAATGCTGCAAGAAGGGGCGTTATTCTCGTGCTCAATGCGACCCATGCAGTAGCTGCGTGCACACCTCGTAGTCTGGAATCCGTATCCCGTTACATTGATTGTATGGTCCCCCATGGCTGACAACGATGCTGCAGCGCTTCGCCGCCTTCGCAAGCCTTTGCGGGACGGAGGCGTCGATAAATTGTGTCCTCTTTTTTCTGCTCTTCTGCTCTTGGTTCTGGAGACTGGCAGCGCATCTTGCTGTGCACAGAGGCTGTAGTCGGCCCGTCGAGCGGCTGTGGCTCGCACCGGCGCTGCACAAGCCTGGAGCCAGGTGAATGGCTGGCACCAGGAGAGTGGCTAACGAGCCCCTCTGCGGCTCGGCCTGGCAATCAAGGCTTTGCATGCAGTTTGTTGGCCAGAAAGCTCTGACAGACAGCGTGGCCATTGTAGCGGAGGATGCAGACAGAAGGTGCTAGTGACAGTGCTCTCGTAAATCATCGGTGACTAAGGATCGGTATATTGCTGTCTTGCAAGCAGACTATTTCGAAGTCCTGGAGACAGAAGCTCATCAAAATCAGTGCAATCTCCATGCACCTTTTAAACAATTTGTATCTTTCCGAGGCTAGCTTCAGAACCCGGTGGGCAACTCCAGCTGAAGGGAGAAGAATTCAATCGACCGACGCTCAACTGCAGCTTGGAGTAGGATCGGCGTCGCTCATCCTGTCCGGTCATGTCAGCCGCCGAGCAGGGTGTTTTGACAGCTGCGCATGTGGCGGATGGCAGCTTGCTTCTGGAAGCTGGCATGGACGGGGGTGGGCCCTGGATTCAGCACCTTCCGCATCAAAGGAGCGGGATTGCAGATTCCGCATAGGTGCCCTGCACACTCGCATCAGATCCTCGATCCAGCAGCGATCTTGAGTAGGGGGGCGCCCAACTAATGTACAACGAGGGTGCCCGTACACCAGGCTGCTAATTTACATATTGACGGTAATGTACGATGACCCCCCTTTGTCGTACATTATTCCGGAGGCTATGTTGTGTTTTGGTATGTGCATGCGAAAGTGGTCATTAGGTGGCGGCGACCTCCCCACATCCTGCCGCTTCTCCCGGCTGCACATCATCATCGCTTCGGCTCTCCGGTTCTCTCCCTTTTTCGCTCGCTCGCGCTCTCGTGCTTGCGCACTCTCTCTCTCTCTCTCTCTCTCTCTCTCCCTTTTGATTGTGTCTCTCTTTTTTCAGTCTCTCTCTCCTTCTGTTCTTTCTCTCTTTCGTGAATATCTTTTTTTTTCTGTCCCCTCTCTCCCCCCCTTTTCTATCTGACTGTCTCCCTTCTGTTTGTTCTTTCCCTCATCTTCTCTCGATGTCTCTCCTTTGACGTTTTTTTCTTTCTCTCTTTCTCTCTCTTGAGTATCTAAGCCCGAACCCAACTAAACTTGACCAGTTGGTCTTTGACGCCATGGCAACGAGATCATTTGTGCGCATCTTTTGCTCCTTCGGCGGTCCTGCCTTCTCACCCCTCTGTGCAGCAGCTGCTCTTCAGCTGCCGCTGTACATCCACACTCTGGACTGGCAGCCCCTGTTCCGCGATCTGCGCGATCGCATTCCAGAGACATATACATATACATATATATATATACACACAGAGGAAGGATCAGCGGCTTCAAATTGTCCACGGAAGCGTTGCCGCCAGATCTGTGCGCAGCCAATCAGAATCGACGCCTGGAGCCACTTGCAGACAACAGTTGCCGCACGACGGCGCGGCACCCTAGAGTCTAGAGTCTAGGGTTTCTGGTTCCAGTGTTTCTGAGTTTAGGGTTTTCTGGTTCCAGGGTTTGGGGTTGAGGGCTTCAGGGTTTCTGGGCATGGGGTTTCCGGGTTTGGCCTCCAACAACTCAACAGCCTGCAATCCCTCTTCTAAGAAGCCTGACAAGCCCTTCTTTTTGAGTCGGCCGAATTGTACGTTGTCCAGTCATAAGGTACAATTCAGCCGACCCGGCCCCGGGGTACCTTTAAGGGTTCCTTTTAAGGGGGTTCCTTTAAGGGTTCCTTTTCCTTTAAGGGAGGGCTTAGGGCTTTGGGTTTAAGGCTTTACATTTAGAATTACGGCTTTAAGGGTTGGGGGTTTAGGGTTTTGGAGGGATGAGGGCTGGGGGCTTAAAGGAACCCTTAGAGGAACCCCCTTAAAAGGAACCCTTAAAGGTACCCCGGGGCCGGGTCGGCTGAATTGTACCTTATGACTGGACAACGTACAATTCGGCCGACTCAAAAAGAAGGGCTTGTCAGGCTTCTTAGAAGAGGGATTGCAGGCTGTTGAGTTGTTGGAGGCCAAACCCGGAAACCCCATGCCCAGAAACCCTGAAGCCCTCAACCCCAAACCCTGGAACCAGAAAACCCTAAACTCAGAAACCCTGGAACCAGAAACCCTAGACTCTAGACTCTAGGGTGCCGCGCCGTCGTGCGGCAACTGTTGTCTGCAAGTGGCTCCAGGCGTCGATTCTGATTGGCTGCGCACAGATCTGGCGGCAACGCTTCCGTGGACAATTTGAAGCCGCTGATCCTTCCTCTGTGTGTGTATATATATATATATGTATATGTATATGTCTCTGGAATGCGATCGCGCAGATCGCGGAACAGGGGCTGCCAGTCCAGAGTGTGGATGTACAGCGGCAGCTGAAGAGCAGCTGCTGCACAGAGGGGTGAGAAGGCAGGACCGCCGAAGGAGCGCAAGCTGTGCAAAGTTTAGTTGGATTCGGGTTTGCAGTCCTTGTCCTCCTTCCGAAAGGAGAGAGAGAGAGAGAGAGAGAGATTCAACCCGTAAAACGGGCGGGCCTAAAGCCCCGGGGGCTTAACTCGCCCATTCAACCCTTGCGGAAGGACGGAAGGAGAGAGAGAGAGAGAGAGAGAGATGAATTGAGTGAGCGAACGAGTGCATGAGTGAATGAGTGAATGAGTGAGTGAGTGAGTGAGAGACAATAAGAGAGCCAGAGTGAGAGAGACAGAGAGAGTGAGAGAGACCAAGAGGGGGGAGAGAGAAAGAGCAAGAGCAAGAGACAGCGCAGATAACACAAGACTGGAGAAAACACACAAAACGTGGTAGCCCATGCGATGCTGACGTGCACAAGGGAGAAGCGGCCGAGACGCTCGGTTTGAGAAGGTTTGCGAAACTTGAACCAAAAAAAGCTTGATTTGGCACCGAAAACCCGTGTTTATGTACAACCGGGGCCCCTGCCGGAAGTACATTGCCAAACCCCTCCATCGTACATTTCCCGGCTGCCCGAAATGTACGATCACAGGTAGGGCCCCAAAACTCTAGTTAGGCCCACCCGGTCTTGAGTCTTGCAGACCTACAGGAGTGTCAACATCCGCTTCACGATCACTGCCACGCGTGGTGGCGGAGATGCACGTATGCCTCAGGGCGTACAGTTGTCAGAGTTTCTGCTCTGGCGTGCAGGCACTCAATGCTGTTTCGGTGATTCTGCTTCTGCTGGTGCTTGCATGTCTTGCGGCTATTACTATAGATGGCCAAAGTTTACCACATCAGGTAAGCCAGTCCAGCCCACTGCATCCAACGTGAGCTGCACTGCCGGTGTGGGTCCCTCCTACCAAGGAGTCGTGAACTGCAAGAGAAGCAAGCTGTAGTGCGCAATGTCGTGGTAGTTTCAGAGTCTTGTTGCAGGACCTCGGAATGCGGTGGATGGAAACTTGAGGACCAAGTGGTGGGTGTCATCGGAGCCCAACGTCACCCTGGTCCGTGACTTACGAAGCACCTCACACTCGAATGTGCTCATCGTGATGATGTTCCGAGCAAAGGATGCCTTGCTTGCCCATAGAAGACACTATATAAAGACTTGCGAGGCGATGGATTTTTCGCACCTGCCTCGCGATGGACCCTTCCTTTTTGGCTTTACGACCGGCGATGACATGCCCTCACGAGATCCTGCGAGTTGGTCGCAAAGAGCACCTGGGGCTGCACCAATCTGCACCGGCTCATGCCTCAGGTCCGGTGGCTGCTGGAAGCCTCTCTGGATGGACAATCGTGGATGGAGCTCCACCGCCAAGACACTGTGCAATGCATTTGTCGGGAGGGTTCGCTGTCTTTCTTCCGTCTGCCTTCATGAAGTTGATGTGCCGATTGCTGGTATCGCAGGACACAAACTTTGCCACGCCGACGTCGCGATTTTCAATGACGCGGCTGTTCGATGTCACGGCGAAATTTGTAGAGCTGCTGGGCCGAGCCCACGTCGATGAGAGCAGGCTTGCCACAGGACAGTACAGTTTAGGCGAAGTTCCTCCCAACGTCCGCCAGGAACTCGCCTTCCAACCCAGCTCTGCCAGTGGCCATGCTGTTGACGGACCTGGGTGCTCTTACACTCAAAGAACGCCGGGTGCTGAAACGCAAAGCGATGTTACCGGTGTGGCATGATAGAATCTGATTGCGACCTGCTTGTTCGAGGCAGTTCCTTCCACAGCCGCGATCCTGTTTCCAATGACTCTCCCGGGATGGCCATCTGTTGAATGGGGTGGAGACGGTGGAGAGGAAAAGCCTCTCAACCGCTGACATCACATCGCACCTGCCGGCTGTAGTATGCACTGAGATATCGTACAGTGCGGCAGGTAGCAAAACTAGGACACTGGGAGCTACATGGCGTGTTGTGGTCGGCCGGGAGAGCGAGGGGTCCTGCGCCTGCTTGGCTGCAGCTATGCCATGCTCGGTTCAACAAGGACCACATGGAAGCGCAGCGTCCCATGGGACAGCCAGTAGAACCCGCGGACAAAGCCGAGTTGAAGCCTGTTCTGTTCTTGAGCCTGCTGACGTATGGTTGTGTTGCTCTGAAGTCTGAAGAAGTTTCAGGAGTTCGTGCGCGCGAAGGCCCAGCTTCAGAGTGAGAAGCTGCACACTGGGCCTTGGATCTGAACCGGCCACCTGCCGCGATGTGAACAGGCTTGCCGCAAGCATCTGAAGCAGACCGGCCACCTGTCTTGTGCGCCTGGCCGCGCTCCCAGCATCGTCGCCGGGATGGCTTTCAAGCTGTGTGCGCATCTGCAGTTCCTGCGGTGAAACTCAGGACAGACTTGGAGGAGTCTGATCGAGGACATGCGTTCTGTTTCAAGACAATAGCGGCTTGTGCCAAAGTCGCTGTGGGTGCCCAGCGCGCTTGGCCTGGAACACACATATGACACATGGCTTCACCGAACAAGTCGGATATCTCGAAGGATCATCGTTCGCACTCGTTAGACGACGGGCAAGATATGAAAAGTCTCTGCCTCGATTGTAAGTAGGCCACCAAGATTCACTTATCCGATCGTGTTTCAAGTATTGTGGATCCTCGCTGGAGAGACGGCCAACCTTTCTCGTAAGAATCAGCAGAGATTAGTACGAGCTGGGGTTTATCTCCTCGGTGCGAGCATGAAGGAGATGGAAGTAAAGGGATTGCATCAAGTAGCAGTCCGAACATTGCCAAGAAAAGCGGGACTCGGGTACAAGTCTCGCAGGAAAAGTGCCTGCTCATCCCGCTTCCTGACGTGCCGGCTGCTTGAGCTGAGCAGCACGGTTTGGCGATGTTTGCGGCTTTGCGGTGGGCTCGTCATTTTTTCATGCATCCCAAAGGGAAGTCCTCTCATCCTGATGGCACCTGCCCGATGTGCTGGAACAGGGCCCTGTGATCTTGACGTTCCTTGGTCGTAGCTGGAGCAGGTTGGAATACATTCTTGCCAGCATCTCAACGTGAATGGCATGCGCAGCAATCGCGTCTGGCCCAAAATTGGGGATGGTGAGCTCAGGGCTCATGTTGCAAGCCGCAGCAAGATCAACCCTAAACGTCGTCACGCAAACCTGCACAACTTTGTAAGTCTGTTTTGGAGTGGCAGGGACTGGTGCACACGGGGTTCTTTGGCCGCATGTGTTCTGGAGGGACAGGGTTATGAATTATCAAAGAAATTATTCCTCTAAACCCCACCTGTGTTTTTGACTCGTAACTCGTGATTTTGCAGTCTGCGGTCCCTACGGTCCTACGATGGGCTTCAGCATAGCAGCATTATTGGCATTGAACATTTGCTGCACGAAGTGATTTTACACGACCGTGCTGCTACTCATGAGCGATCACAGCTGGAAACACATGGAATCTGCATATTGTTCAATTCGTATGATAAACCGTCTTTGCGAGCCCTCGGTCGAAGCTTTCATGCCAATCGCAAAGCTGGAAAGTTGCGCTGATGTTGGCTTCAGAGGACGGCGAAGGGATTTCAGTCGTGCTGAAACGCCTCTAGCCCGCAATGAGGCCGCTAGTTGCGTCAAAGTGGCAGGCTATGCAGGCTCCACCCTGCGCGAGGGAGGCTGCCCGGCTTCCTTCTGCCCGGTGGAGGGGTGCCCCTGTTTGCAGAATTTGCAAGGGGTTGGAGGCTTGGAGCTTGTTGTAGCCGTCATTAGAAACATGCTGTGAGCATTGGACTGCCGTGGCCCTGGATGTAGACGGCTTGTGGGGAGTTTCGTAGCTTGCATGATGTTTGCCCTTTAGGCTCAATGCCGTAGTTCTGGAGCTCATAGGTCAAAGGCACTGTTATCCGTGTATTCGGTGACGAAGATTGGAGCAGGAATGAAATGTATGTCTCTGTGACATTTTCTTTACCTCACGCGCATACCAAGCCCGACAGTGGTGACTCTTCTTTGACGTGCTAGTCGTGCTAGAAGCCATCGCCCCTTGCGTTGCGGCGTCGCCTAAGGTCATCACAGCTGCATACAAAGGCATGACACGACTCTCAGTTGCTCTGTGCGCTTGCAGAAGGCCCCAGGAAGGCCCCAGAACCACTTCCTTTTTCCCTTGCTGACGTTGCCCGACTCACAGCCGAGGTGACGCAGGCGTTCCTCGCGACACTGGCAAAACAGACTGGGGTTTTCAAAGTAGCAAAGCACCCTTGCACCTCTCAAAGCTGTCAACAGTCTTTCTTCGCGGAGGCATTGCAAGTATATTTATTGATGCACGACATAGGCTGACAGAATTAGTGGAATTAGCTGCCCATGCGTGCATTGACCCGCAACGAGCCGCTGGAACGCCACAATCTGCCGCGTACTCAGCAGGCCTTGAATCGATTCCAGACCAGCGGTATACTCGAAGCATCTTGCAGCAAGGCCAGACAGCGCTCCCGGTGTCGTCGTGGATGGAGCTGGGTCGACTGATGCCAATGGCATTTATGTCAGAACTGGCTTCAAGGCGCCTCGCCGCACTGTGAAGCGTGCAACGATCCTCAGTCCTCTCTTTGGTATTGCCCATTGAGGTAGCCAACACCGAAGTTTTCCAGAAGCGTGGAACCTGTTTGGTGATGCTGAAGCGAGGCGATGGTGATGCCATGTCTTGATGGCTCGCAAACTGCCGGGTACGGTTTGCCTGTATCCAAGGTGAAGACTTGAACTGGAGCCTCATCAATCTGAACGGCCTCAGGGGCAAGAGTGACAAGGTCTTGTGTGAGTGACACTGCCCGCCGACTTGCAAGAACGACGGTTGGCGGTTAGCTTTGGAGGCCCCCAAAGAAGAGGCGATCAGCTCCGGGGTCTACACATTCTCGCCAGCAAAGCTCAGATGGAACCCGAACTCGACTACCTTGTACCAGGCGCGCGGAGAATGCGTGTGCGTGCGTTTCGGAAAGAGACGGAAGACTTCGAAAGGGCATGGGATTCGAAGTGCTTCCTGGCGAGTCTTAGTGCAAAGGTCGCCCCAAGCCTGCACAGCAGAGACAATCTCCTTCCACCGCACGCAGGAAGCTTAGTGGCTGAGTGGAAGCTCGGGCCCCACCTGCCCCACGCCGAGGTGGGGTGGACGGTTGTGGATGGGCTTTCTCCGGCCCCCAGCGTCAACTTCTGCACCTCCGACAGCCTCAGAGCCTTGGCGCTGCTCAGAGAAGTCGGAGTCGGCGGAGGCCCCGCCGTTTCGGGGCCGGCCGCTCAGGACCCGAGAAGTTGCTGGCAGCTGCGATCCCCGGGAAGCTCCTGACACGGATTGCAGAAACCGCTCCGAGACCTGGTTGAATCGATTCTCTCGCTCAAGCCGCAGAGTCCTCAGAGTGCTCTCTCTGAGTCCTTTGGATTTCTGAGGACAGTTGCTAAAGTGCAGACCTCCATCCATCAGGCTTGGAGGCCGCGGGGAGAGGTGGAGCCTTGTCGGGCGCCGTGAAGACCCTTGTGATATAGGACGGATGCACAGCAGACGCTCCCGCGTATCCTGCGATGGGGGACCAGCGAGACTTCCAGAGCTCGGAAGCAAGTGAAGGCGAAGGGAGAAGGGCGCTTGGCTCAGACCCTTTCGTTGCCAGGCCCGGTTGAGATGCGAGCCTACCAGCAGAACAGAGCTTTTGGTGGTCTCTTGCGCCACAGATCTTCGCAGCCCGGCCGCGTTGCTCATGCCCGAGGGCGAAACCGTCTTGGTCCCAGTCCGGCCTGGAGAAGCTCTGAAGACGCCAAAGTGCTAATGGCAAGCAGTCTCTGAGTCACTGGCTGACTCAAGTAATTAGTATCAGGTCATGGTGATCTACAGCTTGGTCATAGGCAGGCCCAGCTTCCACTTCGAATGGGGGCTTTCCTTCCAAGAGAAGGAGCTCAGAGACACAGGCGCACCCGTATTGGCGGCAAACGCACGAAGCGCATGAAGTTGCAACAAGCAGTTACTTGAGCCACCACCGTCAGGCAGGAGGATTGTGGAAGCGGTGGAGCCAAATTCGCCGTTCGACCGCTGGAACATCTGGCAGATGGCCTCTTTGACAGCGCTTAGTGCAACTTCAGCTGAGAGGGGTTGCCACCATGCAAGCTCATGTGGTTGCGGTCCGGCCATGTGCAAGGGGGTGTAAACGGTTTCGGACAAGCTGATTGGTGACAGTCACGGCATCCAGCGGTCCGCAACCAGCAGGACAAAACAGCAAGCAGTAGCCACGAGAAGTGGGGTTGCATGGCGACAATCGAGATGAATCCTTCGTCTGGAAAGAAAACGCACCTTGTCGTGTAGTGCATTCAAACGAGCAGGACGGTTCGGCAGATGTCCGTTTGAAGCATCAAGTAAGATCATGCATGAAAGTATGCCACTGCTGCGGCACTGGGGCCCGAGTGAGCAGTGCGTCTGAGTCATTTGTCTTCCCCACCCATCCTCCCTGGCACGTTGAGATCGCCCTTCCATGTCGGAGGGGTTGGGGCTTGAAAGTCTGTAGACCTCTTCGTCCTGAGCCCTGTTCATCAACAGGGTTCCTTTGTCCCAGTGTCTTTGCTACTGGAGAAGTTTCATGCTACGCCTTCACCACCAGCCAAGTGCTGTGATCTGGTTCAGTACGTTCCGGTATGTTCGATGTTCTGGAAGGACGAGGTAAGTCGGAATGCCGACTCGTCGAATGTTTGCATGCAGTGTCTCAAGAACCGGGAACCAACACACAGTGGACAGTGGACAATGCGCAGAACAAGGTCATCGTCAACATGATCACCACTAAGGCAAACGTGAGCAGCACATTCACTCAGTCAGGCCAAGTGAGGCAAGCCCCCATGCGTAGGAAAGCTCACCATTTCGTATCAAGATTCCCAGCTCTTCTTGATGTCGGCTGGCATGCTTAAGGGCAACGAGTTGATTCTTTAGCTATCAAGGTCAGGCCAGCTCCTGCGCAAATCTAGCAAGCTCGCAAGTGATGGAAAGGTCCGTGGCCGGCCGGAGATGTGTGTCCGCGCAGGCGTGTCAGCCCTACTTTGTTGGATTGCAGAGATGCCGCAGCGCGAAACGTCGTGCCGTCGATCCGCGATCCGTCGGCCTAAGGACCAGCTGCTAAAACAAAGTGGGGCCTGGGCCGAAGTCTTAGCTTCTGACTTGAGGGGAAGGGCTCTCTCTCTCTCTCTCCCTTTCTCTCTTGCTCTCTCTCTCTCTCTCTCTGTCTTTGCCGGAGGCCTACTTCGAGTGCCCATTGGAAAGCTCAGAGGGCCTGGCACCGAGAAGCGAGCACGGAACGGTGGCAAGAGATGCCAGGCCCTCTCTCGTGGCTGCTCTCTCGCAGGCTACGAGGATCTGCCGAGCATCACGGAATCCGAAACCCTGGAAGGCTCTGGCCCGGCTCTATTTCATCGCGCGAAAACGAAAGCTTCCTGTGACAGGTGTTGGTGACACCCTTCTTGTTCTAGACTTCGGACGCTTCGAGCGAAGGCCGTGCCCACCTGAACCGCCCAGGCCCGGGCTGAAGGTTAGAATTAGAAAGGATGCAGGAAGCACGGAGGCATGATTTGTCACATCCTTCGGGATTTTGCTCGGAGGTTGGAGCCGTGGGAGGCAGGCTATGGATTGCGAGTCGAAATCGTCACTCCTGCCTGTTGAGAAATCGAAGCCAGAGCACCAGCCGATGCTCTTCCTGTGGCCGTGGCAGGATTCCAGCCTGGCTGGCCCTTACCAGCCGGAACCCTAGTACTAGTGCTCGCCCTTGCCTTTGCCAGTCGCAGCACGCTGCTGGAGGGAAGATGTGATTGCATGGGCTCTGGTGCTGAAAGAGGATTGCCGGAACTCCGCGTGCTGTGTGTTCGCCCAGTTTCTCCCTGAAATTGGCAGTTGAACTTGTGCACTTTGGCAGGACTTAAGCGAAGCTGCCTTCGTTTCGACAACCCCTGGTAGCAGCCTCAACTAGCCTTTTTCTACAGACTGCACTGCCTGCCATCGAGCTCAGGCAAATCGGAGACGTGCTGGCGTGCCTTCGACGGTGAATCGGGGAAGGCCTTTGCACAGCCTGTTCTCAGTTCCGGATCCATCGCATTTTAATTAATCGTCGTTGACATGAGAGTGTGCACAGGCCAGAAAGCTTTGTCATTGCATCTGCACACCTTGCAGCCACAACGGGCTCAGACGCTTTGCCAAGCATAGTTCACTTCCAACAGCACCTTGTGTCTGCTTGCATTGGAGTTCCAGCATTCGGCGCTCGACTCTGCTACAACCCTTGTGGAAAGAGTGACATCAGCAGTGTGGCTTCAACAGGGCGAGCAAGTTCTCAGGTGCATGTTTGCAGCCCAGATGACCGACATCGCAGTTTGAGGTGGCAGCGGGACATGTTTTCGTTAGACTGTTGCCATGGCGGTCTGTGACGACTCCGGCGCCTTGCTTGCGGAGAGCGGCGAGAAGTTATTGGACGATGGGGATGGGGATGAGGACGAGAAGAATGAGCAGGAGGAGGACCGAAACTGACAGCAGTAGGTTATGTTTGAATGCTTCGAACCTGGGAGCAGGAATCTCTTCTGCAACGGGAGATCGCTGTAAAAGGCCCACTCCCTGCTGAGAGTGCGAGATCGGAAAGCTTCACCGAGTGACAGGCGGCGAAGCACGGTTGTTGGGTTTGGCCCTAGCGGACGTCTATGGCACCCGGGCGAAGAACGGCCTTTGCCACGCCAAGGCCTGCACGCGCTGATCTGTGGTGTACCGACCTGCCAACTCAGCCCTGCCCTTCCCAAACCCTACCCTACCCATCCTACCGCCCACCGACCGACCTACTGACCAACCGAGAATGCATGTCATGTGCGCATATGTGCATGCATGTGGTTGTGTATGTCTTTAAGTCTTTTCGTCTGTTTGTTGGTCCGTCCGTCTGCATGTCTGCCTGCCTGCCTGCCCGCTTTGCTGGTGGCTGGCTCGCTGGCTGGCTGTATGTATATGTGTACTTAAAAAGAGAAGTTTTGACGGATGGATTGTCAGACGCGTGGCAGCAGAGAACTTCAACTATTCATTGGACAATGCTGTTCGCAAGATCTGTCTTCTCGATCTGATGCTTGGCAGGACTACTACTTGGAGCTTCGCTCTCAGTTGATGAGCAACCGGTGACTGTTTGATGGAAATCAGCTGTCGTGGGGAGGCTTCCTCCAGTTTCTTGCTCCATGCAGAAATGGAGTGAGCTTGCATGTTTGGCGCGAGAAGGCCAGGTGCGACTCATTTTTTGGTCGGATGCCGGATCCCACAATGTTATATGATTATATGCCTCGGCCATTCTCGGCAGATATCCAGCTTCAGTCCGTTGTCGGAGCGCAGCAGAGGATGCTGCACCATGCAGGTGCCGTGGCCTGCTGCCCAACTGCTGCAGCGTTTTTCGATGGGCTTTGTGAAGGATTGGGCGTGGGCCCCAGCACGCTATCCAGCTTTGCGAGGCAGGCGGGCGCAGCGTTCGCTTGTGCCAGGCTGGGATGTCTACGAGTCGCTCTTGGACTTCGAGGATATACGGGAGCTACTCACGCAGATAAGCAGTCTGAGACACAAGTGGCAGCTTTCGTGACAGATCTACACCCTTGAGCTGCAGCGCCGAGAGCGCGTGCAAGCATCGGCCCTGAAGCACGACGACGCTGTTCCGGGGCATGTCCAAATTTTGAGGCTCGAATCCGTCCCCCGACCGACACGTCCAGCAGCTCCGACAGCCCCGGCCTCGGCCAGCAGCTCCTTTGAGAATGACAAGATCTGAGCAATCAGGTAGTGAGAGCTTGGTTCTCGACGCTAGCACTACCGAAGAGGCCATTGACGACCAAACTCTGAATTTGGAGTTTCAGATGCCCGAGCAGGAATCTGAGGTCTCGGGCACCCGACCAGGCGACACAGAGGCAGAGATGGGACACAAGGGCATTAGATGCAAAAGTTGGGCCAATGACGTTGCCTTGAGAGGCATCCGAGCCGTCAGGGAAGCGCAAGAAGCCACACACTGGCCGATGCGCTCTGGCATGCTCTGGCATATTCGCCCGTAGCCCTCATGATTGTCGTTCCTTTTCGATGGGCCAAAGCATTGCTCTATTGTCGGCGTGGCGATGCTTTGTAAAGAGGCTAGCCGCTCCAGCTGTTGGAACGTCCAGCTCGTCTACTTTAGGCACTGGCTTTGCCATCGCCGGTGATTCGAGCAAGATCGGAGGCATAAGCATGCATTTGTGCTTGCACTGCTTGACCCTGAAGCTTGAACAGATAGAGTAGTTGCTTTTTCGGAAATGGTGCACCCTTTACGAAAATCTTTGGCAACATCTTTACAGCTTCTAGCCAGGGCACGGTGTAGTCAGCGCAATACTTGCGGAAGAGGCTGAACTTCGTCTGCATCTACTTTTGAAAGCTAGCCGGCTAGCCATCGTGTACTCTGAGCCTGCTCTTTGTCGCCTATTCGGAAGCAGTCAGGATCCGGAAGACAGACAGAATCCATCCATTAATGGCCCTATGTCAGGCCCAGTGGCACTCCTGAAAAAACCGCCTTCGAAGGCTAACAGAAACCCTGTCATCGGTGAGGAACATCCGAGCAAGGCCACCATGATCGTCCTTGTGATCACTCTTCTCGTCCCTGCTATCCAGTCGTAAGATAGTCCAAAGCCAGAGAAGTCGCCAATGCTCCAAAGATGTTGTTAAATGCTCAGTATGTGAGGCATCCGTCCATGCAGTGTCCGTTGGCGTTTCTGGAATCGAGCTACATCGCATCTAATTTCGCCAGTCTTATGCTTGCTATTTCCTCAGCAGCCTTAGCCAGGTGTCGGCGACGCTGTGCTAGTGTCACAGACAGTGGATCTTCCTGGGCTTCTTTACGGCCACTGGGCTGCACTTTGGCCTTTCGCTCCGTCAGAACCCCGTGGCTGTTTCGCAGCACTTCACCGTGGCTACCGTGCATGTAATGTGCCTCCTTTCCAATTCGGTCAGTGAGGGTTGCAAAAACTATCGGGCTGTGCTTTTCTTGGTCCCCGTAGATATTTTTGGGGTATTGTCGGAAAGCCTTTTTCTCTTCGCTGGGTAGGCCCGACGCTCAACAGCTTCTCAAGCATGCATGGACAGTCCGAAGCAAGCCTTCTGCCCTGTCCAGGGTCATATGAGGGATGATAAAAACACACGGAGAGCAGCTTTTAAAGTAGATGCGCCCCCAAGGTGGGAGCAATCGATTTCCTTGTAAAACGATAAGAGTAAAATGAAACGATAACGAATATGTGACACATCCAACAGTTTGGAAGTCATCCAAAGTACTGTAAAACGATAAGAGTAGACAAAAACGATAAGGCTGTTGAGGGACAAGCAGATGGATACGGAATTTTCACGCATCCCCACATTCGTATTTCGACCAACATGAACAGGGTCAAAAAAGCATTCTCTCTCGCGCACGGGTTTTCTTCTACCTCGCCACGTAGCCATGACCAAAAACAAGCCTTCCCCTCAGCGAACAGGCTTTCAATGGCCCCTCTGCAGCCCGGATCGAGATTCCGCGAAGGACAGTGAGCCCATGAAGGGGCGAAAGCCCGCGAAGGGCAGGGAGTCCAGGGCGGGAAGCGCACAAAGGGCAAAGGCCAGAAAGCCCGCGAGGTACAAGGGCAGATAAGGGCAAGAAGGCGGAAGGAAGGCCGTGAAGGACAGGAAGCCCACCAAGGGCGGAAGCCCGAGCCCGCAAAAGACGTGACAGTGATCGAACCCTTGCGAATTCGAAGGGCGCTGCTTGGAGGAAAAGCAACAGAAACACATAAGTACAGAAACACCCGCGACGCGTGTGGTACGCGTCTGGATGAAGCCTTGTCACGAAGCCTTACGTGGCCTGTGAAGGTGTTTTCTGGCTTCCTCGAGGCTTCATGTGTTCCTCATGCCTCAAAGGCCGTTTGAAGCCCCCCACAGGGCCCAAGTAAACCCCATTGTGGCAAAAACAGGGCATTCTTTTAAGACCTTTAGGATCCTTTAGGTGGCAAAGGGTACACGAGGCGACCTTTCAAGACCGGCGTTGGGTTGGGAGGGCTTTTATCTCAAGATCTCCGGACTGCTCCTCCTCCTCAAATTCCCTCGTCCTTTTCGAGCGGTTGGCTCCTTGTTCTCCAACTCTCTAGTCTCTGCCGCTTGATTTGTTTTTCAAGTTCTCTAGACTCTAGTCTCTTTCGAGCAGCTAGCTCCCTTTCTCGAGTTCTCCAATCCTTTTCGAGAGGCCACGTTGTCTGAAATCCTCGAGTTTTTTCCGACCGGCTTGCTCCTTGCTCTGAAATTCAAGAGAAAAAAGACATAAACATTAGTGGGACGACATAGTAGGGACAGGTGGCCAGAAGGCAGGCCCCTGCCAGTTTATGGGTCCATGGGTGTTGTGAATGCAAAATTCTGTAATCTGTTTCGATCACTTTGCTCTTTGTTCTTAAGTCTCTTCCAAGCGCTTTGTTCCTTGTTCTCAACTATCTTTAGTCTCTTTCGAGCGGCTTGCTCTTTTTCTCAAATTCTCTAGTCGGTTTCGCTTGGTTTGCCATTTGTTCTCAAACTCGCCAGTCCTTTCGAGCGGTTTGCTCCTTGTTGTGAAATGCTCTAGTCCCTTTCGAGCCGTTGGCTCTTTGTCCGCAACTTCTCTCGTCTCTTTCGAATGGTTTGGTTCTTTTTCGAGCGGTTGGATTTTTGTTCTCAAAAGTCTGGTTCGAGCGGTTTGTTCCATTCTCTCAAGTTCTCTTCTTCTCTTTTGAGCGGTTTGCTCCCTGTTCTGAAATCGTCTAGTTCTTTTCGGGCCGTTTGCTTCTCGCTCACAAATTCTCTAGTCTCTTTCGATCAGATTGCTCCCGTACTCTTGAATTCTCTCGTCCATTTCGAGCGGTTTGCTCCGGTGTTCTCAAATGTCTCTAGTCGGTCTCTTTCGAGCGGTTCGCTTCTTCAAGCCTTCTTTTTTTTCGATCGGTTTGTTCCCTTTCCTCAAATTCTCTAGTCTCTTTTGAGCGTTTTGCTCTCTGTTCTTGATTCTTAAACTCTCTACTCTCTTTCGAGCGGCTTGCTCCTTGTTCTCAAATTTTCTTGTTTGTTTCGAGCAGTTTGCTCCTTGTGTCTCCGGTCTTCTTGTTCTTTCGATTGGCTTGCTACCTTTTCTGAAATTCTCTTGTCTCTGTCGCCTGGTCTGCTCTTTTTTTGCTGCTTTTTCTGTAATACTCTGGTCCCTTTCGAACGGTTTGCTCCTTGTTCTCAAATTGTCTAGTCGTGTTTGAGCCGTTTGCTCCTTGTTCTCAAGTGTTCCAGTTTCATTCGAGCGGTTGGCTCCTTGTTCTTGAATTCTCTAGTCCCTTTCGAGTCTGTTGCTCCTTTTCTCAAATGCTCTGGTCTCTTGCGTGCGGCTTGCTCCTTGTTCTCGATGTCTCTAGTCTCTTTCGAGAGGTTTGCTTTATGTGATCAAATTCTCTACATAGTCCCTCTCGGGCGGCTTCCTCCTGGTTCTTTCTCCAGTCTTTTTCGAGCCTTTAGCTTGCTGTCAAATTTCCTAGTCTTTTTCGAGTTGTTTGCTACTTGCTCCTTGTTCTTTGCTGGGCCTTGTGCCCTTGTGACAGGCTCCCCTCGCAGGCCTCCTGCCCTTCGGAGGCTCCCGGCTCGGTGGCTTTTGGCAGACCCGTTTCGTTCTTTCTTTCTGCGTCCCCCTCCCCTCCCCTCCCCTAACTATCCTTTGCTTTCCCTCCCCTGGCTCCCCTTCCTCGCCCTTCCAGTCCTTTCCGCTGCCCTCCGTTCCTTTTAACTCGCTTCCTGTACCCTGCCCTTTTCCTGCTTTCTTCTCCGCTTCCCTGCCCTCTTCCTTTTCTTCCTCTGCCTCTGTGTCACTCTGTCTGTCTGTCGCCCTTTTTCTCTGTTTATCTTTCTCTCTTTCTCTGACCTCTGCTTTCCCTCGTCCCGGCTGGTTTCCGTCTCTCGTTTGTCTGTTTCCCTCTCTCTCTGACTTTTTCCTGTGTGACCCTCTCTCTTTCCAGTGATTTCTGTGTCTCCGTCCTTCTGTCTCTCTGTCGCTTTGTGTTATGTCTCTTTATTCTTTGTCCCCTCGGTTTTAGACCGCCAAACCCAGGGGGCGAAAAAAGCCCTGTGCGCAGGTTGTTCTTTGTCCCCTTAAATATTAATTTGTTCCTTCGGTCTTAACCCTCCAACAGCAGTATGGCCCGTTAGGTTTCTGCCCTAGACCCCAAACCCTGAGGACCTGAACAGAGCGCGAAAAAAGACCCCAAGCGAGAAAGCGAGCATGAGGAAGTAGCCGTTTAGGGGTGTGACAACAGCCCCGCCAAAAACTATCCGTTCGACAATGTCTTGCCGCTGCCGTCTTCTCAGGCTTTGGAGATTTCGACTGTGCAGTGGGCCAAGCTCAAAGGGTTCTAAATTGTCTCTCTCTTGGCCCCGTGCCCATGGAAAGTTATGCTTCGTTGCCGATCGCACAAGTGCATCATGCCTGCCACAGCTACTTTGCATCCAGGGCAGTTCACAAGCAAAGGTGCTGCGGCTACAGCTACCTGATCTGGAAGTGCTGGCATACGACTGTGACGGCAGGCTCTGTGAGCGTGTGGAAGTCATGCCACCTGTGAAGACGAATCATGCTGGAGCGTCTCAGGGAGCATAGAGGCTGTGTTTCAATTTGTCTTGCATTTGCACTATCAGCTTCACGAACAACTTAATGCAAGCTCGGTACATGAATCCTGAATGCCATGCACCGGTGAAGCGGTCACTCCCACCCCGTGTGGCTCTTTTCAGGAAGGCAGTTTTGCCACCTTTGCTAGGCAAGTAAGGCCTTTAGTGCAGAGTTGTGCGTGAAAGAGCTTTCTTATTATCTTGCATGCTACAGAACTTGGAGGGTTCGGAGTGGAGCATGATTGAATCTGATTGGTCCCTCGTCGCAACTGTGAAAACACGCCAGCCAAGAACGGCAGAGTTTCGAATCTCCTCAAGACAGCAAGGCGTGAATGGAGCACTGGCCCCGACTCGAGCACTTCGACGACCGAAGCACGCACGATTCCAGCAATTCGTTCACCGCACGAGTCTTCGGTGCGACAATACGCCGCAATGCGCGAATCTTGCATAGGCCCTATATGGCCCAAGAAGTTTGCGAATGATGACATGAATGACCGATGCCGGAATCTTTTTCAGTATGGGAATCCGGTTGTTTCAGCATTGGAATCTGTCTTTCAATGTCTTTCAAGTGTGCAAATCGGCTCCTTGCCCACGAAGCTTGCCGTCGCAATCCCTGGGCAGGTTCTGTCCGGTGGGAATGAATTCTGCTGGCCTGGGAGTCTGCGTGTTTAACCTGCACGACAGGCTGGGCAAGGGCCTGAACGCAAGCTTAGCGTTACACAAGTCAGCAGTGATTGAAGGCAGACAGAAGGCTTCGAGAAGCCGTCGGTTAGCGTGCAGGCCACCACAGCTATCGGTTCTTGACAAGATGAAGGGCTTTACATCAAGTAAACTAATCCCGTCTTTGTTTTGGTGATCTGAGTGATCCGTAGCGTCCAGCTAGAAATCTCTTCGGCGCCTTGCAGACCTTGGTCTGGGAACTACTGCTTTGCGGCCACACATTGCGCTCGGCTCTGGCGTGGCTACAGCAACTGAAGCTGCCGCCAATGTGCCAGATCCTTGGATACCTGTGAAGGACGCGGTGAGTTGTCGAAGTTGAATGTCTTGGCAGTCCTTGATCAGATCATGTATAGACCAGGTGAAAGTCCGGCAGCCATCAGCAAACAAATCGCTCTCGCCAACCCAGCACTGGTAGGTAGTTGCAGGCACCCGGAACTACGAAATCGTTCGTCCCTCAAGTACGTAAGTATTATCAAGCAGTTGGTGGTCGGTACGGAGCAATGACTCTGCCTGCAGAGAGCAGAACGGGAGGGATGTTGAGAGCAAGTGCAACCAGGACAGGTACAGGTGCCAGTAGTCTTAGTGAATCCACGGTCGTCGTTGTAGTTGGCCCGCTTGGTCGTCGTCGTCGTCGCCGAGAAGCCGCCGTTGCAACCGCAGTGACGTTGTAGCCGCCCTTGCCGCGGCCGCAGGGGTTGCTGTTGTTATAGGAGCACTTTCTCGCTGTCCTTGTCATCATCACTCTCAGTATCCATGCCTCCATCACCATCGGCACTGGACAAACACGGACATTGCTGCGGTAGAGGCGGCAGCGGACTGCTTCTTGTGGATGCGAGCGGCGCTGCCACGGTAGAGTTGAATCCAGGTGCCTCGCTCGGGTGCGGCAGTAGGGCATCGGGATTCTCAATTGAAGGATGGTGTACATTGTCCGTTGCTTAAGTTTTCGAGATTTTTTGTTTTACGGCATGAAGCGCTAGTTACGATGTTCGAGTGTCGAGCTTGGGCTGCAAGGTGTCGGTTAGCAGGTCATTGCTCTTAGCCGCTGGTCAGAAAAGCCTCTGAGGATTCGAAGCGTAAGCCGTACAGTCCTCTGATTCCTCCATGGGGTTGTTGCACAAGCCTCCGGCACCTTAGAGAACAACTCCTTTAACACCCAAACTCTGTACTTCAAACCTGAACGTGTGTCGCATTCCGCGGACGGTCGCAGATGACATGTTTTCAGTGCATAGGCCGGTGGCTCGAGAGTATTATATGGTCCTGGACTCGCTAGTCGATCTTCCCAATTGTCTCTATGAAATTGCTGCCGCAGCGCTGATGTGTCTCGGCGGGTTGTGGTTGAATTCTGCTGGCTTCGTTGCAACAGGTGGCCCTGTGATCGGCGATGTCCACCTGAAAGACCCCGTGTGCCTTCTCAGAGGAACGCGAGAGCTTGGTGCCAGGCTGACACAGCCTCTCGCTTTTTCTAGGTTCTGCGGGCCAACCATCCGATTCTGTCCAAGCCGGCACCTGAGCTTGAGCAGGCAGTCAGTCATTGTGCATGTGCGAAAGTTTGTCTGGATCCGAGCTGGAATAACTTGAGCCTGCTAGGTCTGCAACAACATTCGGGGCCGGCAAAAAAGCACGGCGTGATTCGGAACGCCGTCTGCAGGCGAGCCGCGTGGCCTGCGCGTGACTGCTTTCTGTCAGCTGCTAGCTGCTCGCCTTCTGCACCTGAAGGCAGTGGAGGCGGAGCTGGAACGCAGAAAGGCCGGTACCGATGAAATATGTCCAGATGGACAACCTAGCCTAGCCGCCAGGACGCAGCGAAGGAGCAGTTTGATGGCGGCGCTGCCATCTCTGTTCTGCGGTCCGCATCCTAATTACACCGCAGCAACTACAGACTCGGGCCTTATGTTGCGTGTGCCCTGCCTGTGATACCAGGAAGGCCAAGAAGGTCAGAAATCTTGCCACCCTTGCGGTCATTGGTCTCGATCTACTGCAAGGCTTCCGGCTACTGATGAGTCTGCATGGGATGTTGGTGACGACATGCATGCCGGCCTTAGTCTGCATTCGATGGTCAGCCAAGCCCCTGGATGTTCTAACCGTTGCAGGCCGGCTGCTTGTCGAGCCCCCGTCTCAGTTCGCCTCCGTTTAATTACAAGGATGTAGATTCTGATGGCTGTCCGCCCGTTTGTCAAAGAGACTTTTCTGAAAGTCTGCACTCGAGGTTCCGAGAGCGACAGTCGGTCTCAAACGTCGAGGCTGCGCGATTTGCGGTGGAGTTTGGCTTGGCGCCTGGACCTCGGGCCGTCACCTCTTTGTAGCATCTTGGAGCTGTTGTAAGCCAACCTCACGGTGATGACATCTGACATTCAATGCTTCAAACGCACACCAGACAGAATGTCTTCAAGCGCCTCTGGTATTGGCACCCAGAACGACCGCAAGCGCAAGTGCCACGTTCTGCTTGTTGTGTTTCGAGCACTAGCCTTGATCCGGTCCTGCGAGACTGCACAGACAGTTGCCTCGGCTCGGAGAAGCGCCTCTCCCTCCTCTTCCTTGGTTCTCTCTCGTGGTAATATACGCTGAAAAAGAGACTTGTTATCTCTTGTTACTTTGTCTGCTTGCTTTCCACCTGCGGACTCGCCAGCGGTATGAATGTTGCTGCTCTTTGCATATGAACCTTGAATCATTCTTGCTGCAGTTCCGAGGCCCAAGATCGTGGATCGTGCCCTGTTGCAGGGAGGTCTCCAGATGGACCCCGGCTCAGCCCATTCATGGAGAGTCCAGCAGTCCAGCCGTGCTACATCGTGCCATATCGCGGAACGACAGCTGCCTTGCACCGCCCTCAAGCTCCAGGAGACAAAGCGGCCCCGCATGACCAGTGGTGAATCCGGGCTTCACGTCACCCGTTGGGCTCGACATTGCTTTTCGTTCTCGACAGACGAGGAAAACCAAGGGTCTGCCTGCATGATGCCTGGTCTCTGTGCCCCACCAGCATTGCAAGCACTCTGCGGCTGCTTCTGAAATTTGCACCAGTCACAGTACGTGACAGGTCCATGCTGTGCTGCGCGATGCGGAGGTCCACGGCATTTCACATATGTTCTGTTCCACGACTGCCTCCGCTGAGGTGCATAGCTAGTCTGCCGAAGCTTCTCACATGCTTTTCGTTAGTGATCTTTCCGGTGTGGAGACTTCCACTGGTAATTGACACCGGCGTCCGTGTGTTTGGTGCATCTGCCAGCCAGAGTGTCCATGGCCAAGCCATGATAAGGTTCCTTCCACCAGCACGTCCATTGGGTCGAGCAGCCATGGTACCATCTCATGACAGCGTCATCCTCGGCTCCTCGTGCTCGCTGCCTCTGGACGAATCTGTACCTTTGGCCAGCTTGTGCTCTTCAGCGAAATGTTGAATCGCTTTCGCTCAGACATCTCGCAGATTCTCAAAGTTTCCGGACAAGCGTTAATAGTAGTCGTTCCGCCAGGCTTAAAGCCTCAAATAGTGCGAAAACGATGACCCCTGAGGAGGAATCGTCAAATTGTCTCTTGTTTTGGCAGGTATGCATGTGAAAGATTGGATGCTTGCATGGATCCTTGCTTGCATTCCCGTGCGGCTGGCTGGGGTCTCCTGGAGTTGCATGGCTTTTCCATGGGAGCCTGTCCACCGCGATTCACAGTTCGTCCGTTCAATGCTCGAACACTCACAGCTTGCCGAGCAAGGGTGTTCGTTTGGCCAGGTGTGATGTGCTGACATTTAGATGAAGATGGGAGGCCTGTAGATGAACATCGAGCGCGTGCTTTGACGAGGGTGAGAACTCTCATGGCAAGCCCTTCCAGCCAACAAGCTTGCGGCAACGAATCGTCCCTGGACTGGATTGGAGCAGTGCAAAATGCTGGAAGTCTTCAGCTTTTTCCAGGAAGATGCTTCTGACCACCAGTCCTCGGACCCGCACCATGTTCCAGCGAGTCATCCTCTCTGCTGGCAGCCTGAAGTCACCCTGACGTTATCGTTTCCTTTGCCTGCCCTTGGCTTCCTTTTTCAGCCGTTTGCTTCGGAAGTGGCACGCACACAGCAGCCGCGCGAGTTCGTTCGGCTGCCACGTTCCGCTTCGCCGCGATGTTTTTCCACAGCCCCCATTGTTCGATTAATGCTCACATAGCTGGCAACTGAGTGGCGAGCAGACTTGGCAGGTTGGTGCAATCATGCACAACGGTGGGCCGATCACGCTCCATCTCTCCGAGGGTATTAAGTGCAAGACTCAGCCTGTTTGTCGCTGCCTGCAGCACAACTGACAGTCTTGGCGAGGCATGCAGCAAGCACAGCAAGCACAGCAGGCAAGCAAGCATTCAAACCAGGCTAGCATGCAAGCAAGTAAGCACGGAGGCAAGCAGGCATGCATGCAAGCAAGCAAGGCAAGACAAGCGCAACCACCACCACCACCACCACCACCACCACCACCATCACCGCCATCATCACCACCAGCAACACCACTAACCACTACGAACAACACCAGCAGCAGCAACAACAGCAGCAGCAGCAACAACAGCAGCAGCAGCAACAACAGCAGCAGTAACAGCACCAAGCAAGAATAGTGTTGATAGCAGAACTGCAAGACTAATGGGTTCAATAAGAATAGGAATAAAAAGACTACCAAGACTTGCATCAGTCGTAAGACTAAGAAGAAGATCAACAGCACCAGAAGCAGCAATGGCAAAATATGACCAACAATAACAATAATGACAGTAACAATACTACTAACACTTGTCTTGCCCCGCGAGAATATATATATATATATTCATACATACATATATATATATATATATATACATATGTATGTATACATTCACAATAATGCCAATACTCATATTCATAACGTTACGAAGAATAAGAAGAGTAAGAGTAACTGCTGTAGTACATAGTTGTAATCGTACTAGCAGAAATACTACTAGTATTCGCATTGGTATTGGTATTAGTATCAGGTATTGGTGTTAGTAGTAGTATTCGAATTAGTGTCAGTATTCGTATCATTATTAGTAGTAGCAGCAGCAGCAGCAGCGGTAGCAGTAGCAGTAGCAGTAGCAGCAGCAGCAGTAGCAGTAGCAGTAGCAGTAGCAGTAGCAGTAGCAGTAGCAGCAGCAGCGGCGGCGGCAGGCAGCAGTAGCAGTAGCAGTAGCAGTAGCAGTAGCAGCAGCAGCAGCAGCAGTAAGAGTAGGAGTAGGGGTAGGAGTGGGAGTGGGAGTGGGGGAGTGTGGGAGTGTGGGAGTGGAGTAGGAGTAGTAGTAGAAGTAGTAGAAGTAGTAGTGGTAGTAGTGGTAGTAGTAGTAGCAGCAGTAGTAATAATAATAATAATAGTAAGGGTTAACGGAAACAGTAATAGTAGTAGCAATAGTATAAGTAAGAGTAACAGTTACAGTCCCAGTGGTAGAAAAAGAAAACATACTAGTTACAGGGCAGTATCGTAATAATTGTACTAGTAATCGTAATAGTACCGGTAGTAGCAATAGTAACAGTAATAGCAGTAGTAAGAGTTTGAGTAATAGTCGTCCAGGTATGGAAGAAGCAAAAGTCATCGCAATCGAAATAGGACTGGTAATAGCAACAGCAATGGTAATGCCAATAGTGTTGGCAATAGCAGTCAAAATAGCAGTACATTGTGCCGGCAAAGTGGAACCGCTAAGTCTAATTCACTTGGTCATCTTGGTGACGGGCAAGATGACCGTCATCTTGGCAATCTCGCTCGCTGAGGGGGGAGGAAGATTACACATCATCTTGGTCATTTTGCTTGGCGGGGCTTTAGGGCCTAAGGCGCGTCACCTTGGTAAACTTGGTCATTTCGCACTTGCACCAGGTGCAAGATTACCGTTTGGGTTTCGGGTTTCGGCTACAAGTTTGGGTTTAGAGTCTATATGGTTTAGGGTTGTAAGGGTTAGGGCTTTTAGGGTTTAGGTTTTAGGGTTACGCGCACCCGGCATCGGTTTAGCGGTTTAGGGTTAGTAGTCAGTATTGGTATGAGAAGTTTAGTATCAGTATGAGTGTTGGTTGTACTGGTATCAGCATTAGTATCAGTATTGGTATTCGAATTGGTATCGGGGTGAGGGGGGTGGGCGGGGGGTGTTGCTAAACTTGGCAATCCTGATGATCTTGCTTTCACACCACTTGCACCACTGGCACCGCTTGCACCACTTGCTGACCAAGATTACGCATTTCCCCCCCCCCTCCCTCCTGCCACGATTATCAGATGACCGCCATCTCCCTCACCCCCGCCCCAAACTATCGGCTGAGCAAGAGGACCAAGATAACATTCTTCTTTCTCGGCATGATGGTTCCGCTTTGCAAAAGCAATAGCTATTGTTCTAGCACAAGTACTAGGAAATAGTAATGACAGAAATATCAATAGCAATAGAATCGGCAGTAGCAATGGCAGTAACAATATCAACAGTAACAGTAATTTAGTTACATTAGTACTAGTACCAGTTCTTGTTCTGGCAATAGTAATAGTAGCAGGAACCGGAATAGTTTTAATAATGCTATCACTAGTAGAAATAGTTAGAGTACTAATACAAGGAAAATAATAGCTGTAAATGTAACACTATTAACACTATAGTACTAATTCTGGCAATAGCTAGAAATAGTAAGAGTAAATAGTAATAGCAAAAAGAAAGACAGTGCTATGGGGGGCTGCAAAATTTCCTTCCTTCACTGTAGTACTAGGAGTAGTCATAGCAATACTACTGGTAACTGTTGTAGTCATGGTAATGCTAACAGCAATAGCAAATTTTAAATACAGTAATAGTAAAATATTTGCATATGCTGATGATGGCGCAGTGGCAATGATGACGGCAATAGCATCGACGCTTGGGATACTGGTGCTAGTGATGCTAACGTTGATAAAAGTTGATTTACAGCAACTGTGATACTTGTGATAATCTTCATAGCAGTGATCATCACGATAACGATGAACAATCACGACAAGGCTGACAACTATGTTAATAGCGATGACAATGATCGTCATGATATTGAAAATACTACACATGATCATGCTGAGTACAACTTTAACAATCATGGCAGTAGGCATCGCCATGTTGATAATGATATTCACATTAACCATGACAATAATGATAATGGTGTTAGTAATTACATTCTCGATAACAACGATAACCTTTTTAAATCGTTGAAACAATTCAATGAAGTAATGGTAGTGCGGCGATGATCATGATAAGGATAAAGCAGGTACTACTGGTAATGATGAAAAGAATGAAGTTAGAGAAACGATGATAACACTGATACTCATAACGGTAATGACAGTGGTGATAATCGCGAAAGTAGTGATTACAGTCATGCTAAGAGTGATAAGGCGGCTAAAGGTGCTAATCATGATAGTGATGAGAGTCATGAGTTAACCATTGTGTGGACCATAGCAATGCTACTAATTAGTGTAATGATAATATTGCGACGAGTGCTAATAATGCGCTATGATTATAAGGATAGTCGTGGGACAGTTGCTAATCATAGTGCCGATGAGTCTAATGGGAATAGTTCTTGTAATGGTAATAATGATGGTCATAATTCTAATCGCGCGAAGGTTGCCGGGGCTTATGTATGTCGTACATGCGCCTTGTGAGCAGTTGCAGCATGCAGGGCTTACCGGGGTTTGAGTATCTGCATAGAGCTGACTCGCGTGGTGAAATTACATCAAAAGACACGCAAAAGACGAGGCCAAAGGATTCGTAGATTTGGTAGGCTTTTCCAGAAAATATATTGCGTTTTATGGTCCGGCTTGCAGTAAGGTTGACTACCAGAAACATGGTGGAGAAAACTCAAGTGCCGGGGTTTCCACGTGTCTTTGCCACAGGGTTTCCTTTTTTCGTTGCGCTCCAGTAAAGTTGCAGTCAGATGCAGGAGAGGGAAAGAGAAGGACAGAGAGAGAGAGAGAGAGAGAGCCCCCAAAACGGGGGAAGAGGAGGCCAGTGGGGTTCAACTGGTGTACAGGGTGTAAACGGGATTTTACGGAACTGATACCAAGTGTCACACAGACCACGTGACCGGTGCGCTCGCCAGCGCGGGGAGGGGTCGCACCCTCCTTTGTCCGATTGCAAGCAAGAGAGCTTTCTTCCCTCTGAGCCACTGGAAGCCCTGGTAGCCGACGTGCAGCCAAGAACAGGGCAGCCAGAGTGGAACTAGCACACTTCTGTGCGTTGTATGTTTCTCCTATAACCTGTACTGGTCCCTCAAGGCACCCTGTTTGCCGCTGGTGTTCTCTCACCTGGTTTCCCCAAACCTTCTGGGGGGGCACAACAGGCCGGGGGGAGGGTCGCATACAGATATGTATCTACTCACGCCCATGTCCATGTATGCACTTTTCTACAAGCACAAACAAACATGCACACATGCACGTGCTATGCATTAAGGCAGCTTTCGCTGCGAATCTTTTTCGGTTATTGGCCACAGCCTGATCCAGTGGTCCAGAGGATTCCGATGTAATCATCGAATCTTGGGATAAACTCTCGTATACAAATTCCTCAACTTTCGCAGACTTCAATGCCTGCTGCTTGCAAATTTGCAGCATCTTAGGACCGGGCGGACGTATGCTGCTTGTCCGACGCCCAAATAGAGGCCTTGGAGGCAACAGGAGCTAATTTGTGGCGATTGCAAAGCGCGGAGACATGTTTCCCAAGGCCTTGCAGTGCTCACTGCTGCTGGCTGGTCGGCGGATCTCCCAGAATCAGAAGGAAGCTTGGAGCACCGGAAGAGCGGTCCAGTGCGAGCCGGAGCCAAGGCATTCTCCTATCCATCAAGGCCACGACTCATCGTCTCAAAGCTTTCTGTTCGAGTCATTGGGTCAGGCCCGTGCATGTGAAGCAGCGACCGGGCCTTATGGACGGCATCCTGTCCCTGGTCCTCCCACCCGAGGCAGGAGTCATAAGAAAGGACGAAGACCTAAGTGGGTGCGGAGCCAGGATGAGCAGCACAGGAGGAGGAAGCACCTTACTGGCGCCATGCTCGGGGAGCAGAGTTGCAAAAGACAGATTCCTGATCAGAGTGGCTCTTCTATTCCGTTGCTTGCTCCGAGGAGCTCTCTTCTACTTCCTGCCATCGGACCTGCAGAAACCTTAGACACAGGAGAACAAGTCAGCTAGGTAAGGACCTCATGCCGTCCTCGACTGAAGGATTTTAGAATTTGGAGCTTAGAATCTCAAGCAAATCCCAAGCATGTAAACCCCACGCCTATACAGATTCCTCAGAATCCCAGGCAGGCGGGCTTCTCCGCGCCGATTACCACCCAGAGTACTGTCTCGGAGCCATGTGAGCCACTGGCCCCGCTGGACGATTTTGGTGAATTCTGTAGGTGTCCAGGAGGTACTGCTGGTGGTGGGGGGTCGCCGACGTTGTCGCGGTAATGTGTAGTATGAAATGTACTCGTAACTGGTAACTAGACTAGTAGTAGTCGTCGTCGTAGTCGTAGTAGTCGTAGTCGTAGTCCGTCGTCGTAGTAGTAGTAGTAGTAGTAGCAGCCGTGGTGGTGGTGGCAGTGCCAGTTTCGAAAACCGTTTGCAGGCCTTTCTGGCTCTGCGTTAGATGCTCTTCGCCTTGGAGGTTTGCATGCTGTGCTTAAATGCAAACAACTGTAACTAATTGCTTTGTAGCCGTCCTTTGCTACTTGTCGTCAGTGTCTACTATTTTTGTTGTTTGCGACTGTGCGTATTGTCGACATCTTCGATCCATTGTTGAGCTGCTTACATGTTACCAGAGCAAGCTGAGCACCGCACCACATTATGGCTGGAAGTTTGATGACGTCCGATCCGATGCAGAATGTATGTCTTTACTCTGTACTCACATAAACAATATCAAGCTCAGCTGTACAATGCTGTGCATATGTCATGTGTTTTTCATCTCGTGGGCCAGAACCTCGAACTCCCTCGATGTTCAAACGCCGCATGTGGACCGGACGTGCAAATCTGGCTGCGCAACCTCGAGGAGCAGGCTGGGATAGGCTGGGGGTGGGGCTTGGGGGGGCTCTGGCGGCGTGGTACTCGGGAGGCACGGGGGGTCGCTTTACGATCGGATCCACACCCTTTCGCCCCACAAAGTCGCAAACTCAAGCCTGCCAACGAGAGGTGAAGCACGTAAGCTGATTGGTTGGCAAGCATACAGTACAGTGACAGTCGTGGGGGTGACCAACTGTGCAAGATGTTTTGCGAATATTCTGCATCTAAGCAGCTGATGTGGAGGATTCGCTGCCGCCAAACATCTTTCAGGATCCGTTCAGCACACTACCCGGATGATGCTATCGTAAAAGCAGCATCGCCAGGGGTTTTGGAGCATCAACCATGGCATTTTCCTCTCCTAACTAAGAATGGAGGAAAGAGGCTCCCAATCAGGCCCTTTACGTCTTCTACTCAACATACAAACCCGGACTGGAAAAACTCATCCGCTTCGTTCGTCTCTTTCATCCTCACTATGTCACTATGTATTTCATCATCATCATCATCATCATCCCCCTGCTGGCACACCTTCTCGTCGTCATGACCACGATGTAGCATGCAAACTGGAGTAGCATGGCAGTATCAGGAAACCATGTTCTGATGTATTTTGGTGATTTACGCCTGCTCTTGATGGTTAGAATGTGCAAAAGCCAAGGCTTTTCAGCACAAGAAAGCTCCTGAAGTCGACAACCTAGCTTCACCGTGCTCGGTGCAGTCTGTGTTTGCTTGCTTCGCCCTCCTCGGGCCCATCCAGACACAGTGTGTTGCGGAATACGATGGCTCAGGCTTTCCCTCGTCCTACCCCACGGCCGGCCCAAGGGCTTGGAAGTCAGCGAGGAAGGTGCTTCCCGGAATTTTCTTCAAAGCGTAGTATCGGCGTCCGCAGCGCATGTCGGAGGTGGAAGTACGCTGTACGTGGTTGACGAGGGTAGAACACCTGACGCTGAGGCGTCTGGATCTCAAAGAACCTCCTGGAGCCAAACTGTGTGGGATTGTTGCTGTACGATGTGCGACTCGCTGTCTTAGGCGGGTCATGAAGATTTCCAACCATGCCATTCCGTCGGGATCTCACTTTTGCTGCATGGCGGTTCGCAGTGCCACAAAGCGAACACGTTTGAATAGACAAGCTGCATGGAGATGGCTAGTTCAATCCTACATTTGTGTGGAGGAACGCCAGAAATATTGAACAGCAGCACAAGTGCCACACGGTTTGGGGATTATAGAGACAGGCATAATTTCCGGATTGTCGTTGAATGCATGTGACCGGCGGCATGTTGCGACCCGACTCACAACGTCTGAAGCAGCTGTCGATGCCGTTCAACGGAATCAGATGCTGCCTGACAGGAATGGGTTTTTTTCCGGACGTGTCTGCAGGTGGAGGCTGTGCAGCGGCGACTTTATCGTTCGCCCCGGCCTCGGTCTTGAACTCGTGAGACTTCCTTCTTCAAGTTCTTGGAGTGGTCGGCCACCGGGCCACGCCGGGCCTTTTGATCCTCGATCTCTGCTAGGCCTGAACGGGTTATCCGGTGCAGAGCGGATGCTGGAGGCTGCGACGGCTCTAACGTTTTCATGTTTTCTCATGCGTGAGAGACAGGCAGGTAGGAGAGACACAGAGAGAGAGAGAGAGACAGAGAGAGCTATCGACTTGTTTTCTGGAACAATCTCCCTTCATAGTAGGTGGCCATGATGACAAAGCAGGGGAACCGTGATTAGTTTTACTTTGATCGTCAGCACGCTGTCTGCACCATGAGCCCTGCTGTACTTCCCAAAACTAGTGTCTGTGCCTCAGTTGTTCCAACAAGGGAAGTAAGCCAAGGCCGCTGTAAACTACTGGGGGGATCTGCCTGTCGTAGGTCTAAGGATTTTTTGCTATAGAGAGTGCAGGGATGAGGCCGGGAGGCGCGCTAGTGTTCAGGGGGGGGTGGTTTACCGACAGGCAGAATGGAGGAAAGACCCCGAGCAACACAGTTTCAAGGCCCCTTCCACCAAAAAATGGGGGAAAGGGGGCGCCTCGGCGCGGGCTCCGAGAGCTCGACCCCTGCGAAGCAAAGCGAAGAGCCAGGATGGCCCTTTTGCACTAGCCTGGGTAGGGGAGCGCTTGCTCTTCTCTCCTTGCCTGGTAGAGAGAGACAGAGAGAGGGTGTGAAAGGGTGCATGCATGGCGCCCGATTGATTGTTCGCGGGTCACTTCGAGTGATTGCGTGCAGGAATTGCAGCACAATCCTCCGGTGCTTGCGAGATGCCGGCGGTGTTTGGAAGCCTTTTGATGAGCCCGATAGCCCAAATGGCAGAGCGCAGGAAAGAATGCATCGTTGGCATCCATGGCAGGCTGGAGGTACTCCGACCGGTCGGCGGGAAGAGGGAAGGGGAGGTCCACTCTGAGCCAATGTCTTTGCTCTGACGAGATGAGATGTCCCGCTGCCCTGATCTGCCCGGATTCGCAGACTGCAGACATCTTCGAGTTACACCCAGAGCTTGACGAGCAGTGTCGGGCTCTTGGTTTGTTTGGCTCCTCGTTGTTTCCGAATCCAGAGATCTCTGACGCCTTTGAATGCTTTTTAAGTTCTGAAGTACAGGCCAGGCCATGGTTTCAGAGGCTCCATTGCGTCAGCTCTTTCGAGCTCGGATGTTCGTTTGAAGCTTTGTCCTTGGCAGACTCGCACCCACGGGCTGCTGAGCAGCGAAGCCGAGCTTGCTTCTCTCTCTGTGGGCGCGGCACTTGTCAAATATCTGAGCATGCCAACTGCGCAAAGTCGCAAAGTGGCCGATGCTGAGGCAGACGCGATGATCTGATCCAGCAGGTCTTGGATGGAGCTGGAGCCTCCGAGTGAACCGAGCGGGCCGGGCCTTGACGTGATGTTCTGTAAAGGTAAAGAGCTTCCGGAGGGACGTCGCTCCAAAGCGCCCAAGCGATGGTGAGCCTGTGCCCGAAGCAGAAGGCAACCTACAATTGTTATGGGGTCCGCGGTGCGACGCTGTCTGCCTGGGTCCTGACAGGCATGGATAATGCCATCTTGCTGGATGCACAAAGGCCGGTCTGGAGATGTGCACGGAAACACTTGCATCACTGACTTTCGAGGCGAGTTCTCGTACTGCACCGCTTCCGCATGATGGAGCAAACCGCCAAGGACCCCATCTGTGCCTGCTCTCTGGCGCTCGCTCTCTCTCTCTCTGTCTCTCTGTCTCTCTCTCTCTCTCTGTCTCTCTCTCTATCTCGCGCTCTCTCTTTCTCCTTCCGTGTCTCTTCGCCTCGCACTTTATGCCCCCCCCTGAAAGCTTTGGAGAGGAGTTTCAAGGTGCGGAAAGCGGCCAGCTCTCGGAGGCGTAGCAGCCGCGCCGCCAGCCGAACAGAGACCCCGAGCCCAAGCGCCACGAAGCGAAGGCCTGTCGGCTCCTGCAGTGGGCCATGGCCGATGCTTCCTTCTCGCCAGAGAAGCTCGGCCTCGACCTGAGAACTTGAACTACAGCGTTTGCTGCGACGAACGGCTTCGCGAGCGGTATGGAAGGCCGGAGCATCGAGGAGTTCAAGAGTTGTGGAGGCACAGCTGTGCGAGCATCGGCTCCAGCGAGGATCTCGGTTGGCCCGCAGTTGTGGCATACAAGAAGGCTCAAGCAAGGAGACCAGCCCTAAGGCGCAAGTGCTCCTGAAGCGTGCCATCTTCCAAATGAATCTGTGGCACGCCACTCGGAAGGTCCTGCAGTAGGGATGGCCACGTGGTGGCAGTTCCACTTCAGGACCTGGCGCGACAAGCTGAGGCTCCCGGCGCAGATTGGGAGGCGGGAGTTCTCCCTGGGCCCTTCTAAGCTCTTGCCCAGGGAGGAGCGCAAGGAGCTGAAACGGGCGACCGAGCAGATGCTGCCACGGCCCCAAACAGAAGTTGAAAGCAGACAAGTCTTTCCTAGGCTATGGGTATTCAGTGCCCTTTGAGGCATATGGAAAGAGTGGACCAAGAACACACCAAGCAGTTTCCAGGCAAGTCAACAGACAAGAGTGGCATGTGTGGAACTTTCCACCATGAGGCCTACAATTATGGAGTTTAAGTCGTATCTTCTGCAAAGTCACATCGTGAGTGCGGGGAACCTGTTCAATAGGAATGTTCCAACGCGGGATTGAACTTGCATGGCAAGGACGAAATGTGCATCGATCGGTGTGGCAACCGGCAAGTCAGCTGACGCAACACGACGTCCAATGTCGCTACACAGCATCGCCGACTATCACCAACGCCGCCTCCGCTGCTACATGCTGTCTACTTCAGTACCTTCTACTTACTACGTAGTACCTCGCCGCCGCCACCACCACCACCACCACCACCACCACCACCACGACTACTGAAACTGCAAACACTGTGCTATGGTATAGTGCCCATGACCGGCTTGAACAAATCTGACCTACTCGTCATGTCGGTCTCGCTGATCCGCAGGCGATGCTTGGTAAGGCTAGTGTTTTTGCTTTGGGTTCTGTCGCTGTTGCCATGTCCATTCGTGTTTTGCTAAGCCAGGAAGGCCGATGCCGAAGGAAGATGTGGAGAAGATTGTGCAGGCCGTGCGGGCGCTTAACATCGTGTATTCTTTATTCCGCCCTGGTGTGGTTGCGATGGCGATGACGGTTGGCATGGATAAGATGCAGAGGATGGTGACGACCACGGATCGGCATCGTCATCAACGCCGCTATCATCATCATCTTCATCATCATCATCATCATCACATCGTCATCATCACCATCATCATCACGACGCCATCATCATCAGTCAATCGCCTTGCCGTCGCCATCATCATCTTCATCATCATCATCATCGTCACCACCATCATCGCCATCATCACTACCATCACCGAGATCATCATCATCCTCGGCATGGCCATCTGCATCCTCCTCCTCCATCATCATCATCATCATCACTATCATCATCATCATCATCATCGGCATGCCACCTACATCCTCATCCGAGTCATCATGCCGATTTTCCGGTCCTATTTGTCGTCGCCATCATGAGCGGTCGTTTGTTTTTGTGATTTTCGGGCATGCTGTTGTGCAGCAGCAGCAGCAGCAGCAGCGGCAGACCAGTGCTGCACATGTTTCATGACCCCTCGAAATGTTTCGCCATGTTTCGCCTTCTTTGCCTATATGACAAGTTGCGGAGATGTTAAGCCTGTGCGGGCCCATGAAGACAGAACATGACGTGACGGATTTTGGATAACTCTCCAAAGTGCCACCTTGTTGAGTTTCCTTGCCAAACCTATCCTGGCAGGCCAGGAACCTGCTGGGTCGCAAGGCAGAAACATGCCTCAGCTAGCGGACTTCCTATTCCTTGCTGCCTGCAAGGTGCGGCAAGGGCAAAGCTTCAGACAGCAACTGCAGTACGAAATGGCGGAGGCTGAGGCCGGAAAGCAGCTCCGCTGTGACTGCGAAGCCGAACCCAGCATTTCGGGGCTTTCAATTCGTAATGGCTGAGTAGGTCAATACAGAGAATCATTGGGGATGGTCATGGCTATTTCCGTCTGTGTCTTGCGAGCGCTCCTTGCTCGGTGTCACCACCACCAGGATAGAACTTGCCAAGTCACCAAACCGTTTGGTATTTGCAGCATATCAAGATTCGAAACTCCCAGTCCAAAACCGTTCATCGCCGAAGACCCGTCAGTATATGTCATGTGTCAGGCAAGAGTTGCGGATCGCCTGCCAACACAACCACTTGCAGGAGCAAGCAGTTCCTGCAACCCGTGATAGCAAAAAGCCAGACTTGACACCACCTGCTTGAACGGCTGAAAAGCGAACTTGCTTGACCACGTTTCAGCCTGTGCCGTCGCTTAAACCCTCATTGAGCAAGTCGAAGACCGCAGCCCTAAAGTGACTCTGGCAAGAGTAGACAGCTGGTGGCCATGGGATAGGATAGTTGGGTGGGAAAGAGGGGAGCCATCGATTCGTGCAGAGCAGGGCGCGATCCAGGAGTTGAGAGGTCAAGGACAAAACAATGCGATGTGTTTGATTTCATCGGCAGAGAGAGTTGTTTCGTCGAGTAGAATGGGGCTCGGCAAGTGGATCTGGGGTTGTGCGGGTGGCTTTGCTGCAGCCAAGATTTTCCAAGATTAGTGCCTGTTACCTGGATCTGGGTTGTGTGCGACCATCCACGGCTTCACATCGCCAAGCCATCAACTCTCGCATCTGGTTGTCCAGGATATGATCGTCTTAGATGTGATATGTTAAAGCAAATAGGAGTCAAGCCTGCTCACGCGCAGCAACTACTTGGCAGTATGGTATCCCACAAATGGTGCCAGGGACACGGGATTGCAATATCACTGGGCTGCCTTCTGGACATGCAGTGGCATGTTGTTGTGGATGGGAGTGAATTCCTCCGCATAGAAACTGTCTGCATCGCACCTACGCAACCAAAACTTTGTATGGTCGAAAGTATAATTATGCAGCAGCTCTCCACACCCGCACTAGGCAGTTCTCCGGCGGAGTCTTCGCAGTGCAGCTGGGCAGCAGCAGCTGAGCCTTCAAGAGCAGAACGCGCGTGAGAGTCTCGGTGGTTTGAGCGCAGCTTTGGGCTTTGGGAAGGATGGGCCAGGATGGGTCACATCATGTTCTCTGCCGCCTCAGGCTTCCACCCACAGCGTACGTTGACAGTGGGCATGCAGAAGGGCTGGTGGTAGACGTGCAGGATTCGCGCGGTGTTTTTGAGCAAGAGCTGTTCTTGCAGCCAGGTCGGTAGATGCTGCAGTTGTGCACCATTCCTGTGCCAAACGTCGAACTTGCAAGCTGCTGTAAAGAGGACATGTCGCGAAGTTCCACAGCCACTGAGCAGTAGCTAGACATCTATGCCGGAGCATCCCTGCAGTGGCCGGCTGCTCCGGATGCACGAGCTCGAATTCACAGTTCTGCGAGCAGTTAAGCATCTCCACTTAGGTAAGTTTAAGGGTATCACAAGCTACACGACAGATTGCGCGTGGCAACACAACTCCAGCCACGGCATTTTCAATATTGTCGAGAATTTAATTTGGCCAGCATCTGTGATGTTGTGCACACGAGTCGTTTCTGCGAAGCCAACAAAAGTTGGCATGGGTGGATGGCGGCTGGTCGTAAAAGAATCACAGAACATCATCGAGGTTTGCAGAATGACAGTGGGCAGAGATTCGAGTGCTGTGGTCAAGGTACTCCTGTGTGCGAACAAGCTATCTCAACTTCGGTGAGGCGATGAGTGCGAGAAGCACAGAAGCATCTGAGCGCACTCGAGTGCACCCGAACCGAATCAAAATTAAAGCGAGCACTGCTCCATACGATGGCATTCTACGACCCTCAGCAGTTGACAGTAATAGGCTGCACAAACGGGGGCCTGTGCTTGCGGGTGGTGGATGCAGAGTTTCAGGCTTCACGATGGATTCTGGAAGGAACAGTTGCTGGCTTGGGGTTCAATGTAGAGACGCGGCGGGCTGGCGACGCGAGATCCCTTCAGTTTTTGAGATTCCGAGCCCTTGCCACGCGCAGGGGGTTACTTTGGGGTCAGCAGTCTCGACCAGCGAACAGCGACCAATATCACGAGTTCCTCAAGCTGTTGGCTTCGATAAGTAATCGAATCTCGAGCGAGGGAACGAACTCACCCCTCCTGTGCAGTTGCTTTTCGCCGACGAAGAGGGCAAGGATGGAGTCACGCGTGATCGAATCATGGTTGTGTCACACCGTCACCTGCAAGACTAGTTTGCCTGCACATGCTAGATGTTTGGATTGTGCTTGGGGCATCTCTCTTGAGTTCGAGCAACACCTGGCTTAGCACGCAGGGTCATGTAGAACCTGTTCGTTTGCAGTCTTGCGTAGCAGGATGTTCGCTTCCAGACGAAGGTGCCCCACAGCTGCCGATTTTGTCATGATTTGTGAGTATCCTCCACCCACCACTGAAGCTTGCCCCAAGATCTTGTGTTCGACTACTGTGCCAGGATGGAGCAGCTACTGCCCACTCGGCTGTGCTTCGAGCAGTCTCACAGCCATTTCGACAGGCCGTGTCGGAGTCCTGTCGCACTTGAGGGATGTTAATGTGCACCTCCACATCATTTCATGTGGGCAAGCATTTCGAATCTCGGGCAGATGCTCAGCGCGGAGATGTCAGAAGGCCATTAGCTTAGCTTCCTGCCGTTGCGTCGGTCGGTCGAGTGCCTTGCTCGAATCTCCATGGCTTTGCCACTTACGAATTGCATCCGCCTTGGCCAAGAGCGAGGTCGGACCAAGACGATCGAGCTGTCGGATGTGTTCGCAGCCCAGAGGTCCACGCAGACCTCGAATGTTTTTTGATGCAGGATGTTGGTAGTCGCCATCTAATTCCAGCGTCTTGAGACCGAGGACCCGTGCAGACCTCCTCTTCTTCCTCCGGCTCCTTTACACTGGCCAGGCGCGCCGCTGTTCAACGACTTGCAGAGGGTGAAGAGTGGCGAAGACGGCACGCCAGGTGGATGAAGCGGATTGGGATGGACTGTCAGGAACGCCACACTTTCAAGTCCCATGGCACGGCATAAGCGGGGGCCCTCTGGGACCTGACGCGAGCACCGCTGAGGTGACGGCTCCCGAAGATGCCGAGCCAGCGAGTGCCGCCCTGCTCAACGGCATTTACACGGCGCGGGGGCCGTCTGCCGACTTGCTCACGACATTCTCTGCCTTGCTCAATGATTGATGGCCTGAATCTCCTGCACCGCAGCTAGTCATGACGGCAGTCTCTCATGAAAGACCCAGTGATAAGCTGACTATGGCTGACTGGGTGATGGCATTGCGGAAGCAGCCAAGACTAAGAAGGACGAGTCGATAGCGGGCAGCAGCATAACCACAACATCAAGGCTCCCAACCACAGAAAATTGACAGCAGTAGGAGCGAGCTTTGCCAGTAAGCGGGAAGACATGGTACATGCATGAAAGCAGCATTGCAGTACACGGCAGCGTGAATTGCTGCCAGAGTACGATCCATCTGAGCATGGCACGGCTTTGTGCGCTCGGTGTGTGGTTGTGGTTCACAGGCGAATGCACCGGTGAAGCTGATAAGGTTTTTGTCAGCACCCTGAACGAGACAGTCATAAATGAGCCCTGCGGATCCCTGCAGTGCATCCAAGCCTATCCATTTTATGGTAAGCTGCCATTGGACTTCTTGCCAACCCCGTCACTGATTGTAATGATGCCATGTTGTACTGTACATGACAGGTGCCGTGGCGCAGCAGCCCGATCTTGATTTGGGCGCGCTTTTCGAAGGTGGCGAGCTGGAATATGCCGGAATCCTGTAGTAGTATTCGGGAGACCCCTTGGAAGTACTTCTGGCTCTCTTCAACAGGGAGATTATTGAGAGGGTCTACATTCCCAAAGGGTCCGCCTAATCCTAACTTCTATAGTCTCCAAAGAAAGAGAGTTGAGCACAGCTTCCCGACTTCCGAGCGGCGAGCTTCCAAGCCGGGAGGCTTGGGTGCGATACAAAACACTGGCAAGGGTGGCAAAGGTGCGGCGCAGCTTGCACGCGGCAACCCCAGAAAGCAGAGACCTCTGGTTTCACTTTCCAGGTGCAGCACGCGCAGATGATGCCTGCCCTGCCGGCCAGTCTCCCGTCCCGAAGATGGACCGTTCGGATCGCAGGGCGCGTTGAATTCGGCGCAGATGCGGGTGTGACGCTGTTCGTTTGAGTTCTGTGGGTTTAAGTGGATCCTTTGAGGATTAATTGCGGGGCTGGCGTCTTCGAAATGTTTCAGAGCAGGACCAGCACTCCCGCATGATGGCCAACGGTTGCGGTCCGCAGGGCCTCGTGATAAAGGCCCGATGTTGGTGTGTGCGAGGTCACTCGATGCTTCGCTTTTCGGACTTTCAGGAGCCTCATGGGCTGTTTCGTTGCTGCAATGGTCAGAGGCCAAGCGCGAAGTGCTGCTCACAATGCAGGAGCCTAGATTGGCCGGCATTCACCCACCCTTAGCTAATGTGCAAGCATGTGCAAGCTTCAAAAAGCAGCAGCGTGACAACGTGCACCTGCAGCCGGATAAGGCCACGACGTCTGCTTTTCCGTATGCGGGACCTCGCACGACTTCTGCGAGGCCGTTGGGCTTTGACGCGCCTCCTGTTTAGAAAAAGGATGAGACGATAGGGCCAAGCCTGCCAGGATCAGTTTGCCAAGTGCATGCAGGAAGTCCGCTCCTCTTCTCTGGTGCATTTTTTGCTGCCAGAGCGGTGACTGCCTGAGCGGCCTGGTGACTGAGGTTTGTCAGAGCCCACTATCTGGCGAGCATCAGGAGTGCCAAAAACAGGCAGGGGCCAGGGGCATAGACCGGAAGCGCACACCACGAGAGAAATGACGAGCGACCCCAAATGTAAAGCGTTTGCAAAGCAGCGCGTCTTATGCCACATGAAGAGGCATCTTTGCTGCGAGTGGAGCGGTTTAGGAACAGTAGGCTTCGGCGCAGCGCAGTGCTTAGCGGATGCTGTGGGTATGCGTGACAGCAGTATTTGAGAGTCGTGACTCGGCTCTCCTTCAGTGCGTCTGTCACTGTGCCTCTGCCAGGCACACTCCTTCTCGTCAATGACGAAAGTCTTTGGGTCAGGCCGGGAGCTACAGGAGAACCAGTGTGGGTTTTGTCTGGGCTGCCTCGGCAACTGACCCATCTTGAGGTTTTCATAAAGCCTCTCAGCAAGATTCATGCCACTGCGTGCCCGAGGATGAGGCCCTCTGCTTGAGAGTGCTTTCGCCAATGAGCTCAAGTGCCAAAAGCTTTCTGAAACTCCAAGTCAAGGCTGGCAAGAAGCATCGCTCTACCCTTAGCACAACGGACTTGCAAACGCAGGGCGCTTCTGAACGCATGGTACCTCTCCAACTTTGCACCGAGGGGACTACTTGGAGACCTTCTACCGATTGTACAACGAGTCCATGCTTGACACAGACACTCTGGAGCTGCAGCTCTCAAAGTGGAAGGGCAAGGAGGCCAGAACAAGTCCTAACAACTTCGGTACATGCAGTATCTGTGGCACAGCCAAGCCTGCCTGCAGGCAGAGCTATACTTTGATCTTGCCACTCGGCAGCACGACAGATACCCGCCTGCTTAGCTTGGCTGCAGAAGTCGTGCAGATGCTTCTTGCGAGCAGGTGAAGAAGTATGGTCACCTCTTCGTGCAGTTCGATGCTCCCTGGCCTTTTTTGTGACTGATAGTCTGGACGTGCTCCCGAGAAGCAACAACCAGATTTGTATACGTACAGTTTCAACAACAGTTGCTGTTCCCACGGCCGACGGTTGCTGGTGACACGAGGACGTTCCAAAGGAGTTCGTGCACGTTCCTCAGGCAGGGGTGAGGGCGGGACGGTGGGAGCGACGGCGGGAGCGGTAGCGCAGCAGCTCCGATTGGAAGGCCGCCGGGCACAGCCGAAGCGACCTTTGATGCCGGTCTGCCGACTTGTGTAGAACGAATGTGGTGCACAAAGCCACAAAGCGTCATGATGCCGCCGGTCGCTTGCTTTTCCCAGCTGGCAGCCAATTTTCCCAGCTGCAAAGCATCTGATTGCTGCCAGTCAGTTTGAGCAAGATGGCTGCGTGCCCTCTAGGGCGTTAGATATTGTGATTTGTCACGGACATGCGTACATGTGCTTCTGTGTCTTGGTTAGGATTCATGCCAACTTTGTCTCACTACGCAGCTTGACTGCTCAAGGACCGCTTTGCGAGTCCCAGGAAAAGATCCGCCTTCACTTGGGAGTGTAGGTGCTGTCTTCTACCTGAGCGTCAACCTTACGGTTTTAATCTCTGATCATCCTTGCTTTGCCTTGCTGCTTTGCTTTGATCTACGATTGGTTGCCTTGGGCTTTGTGACCGAGAGTTGAGTGGAATCCTCCGCTTTTCACAGGTTATCAGCCGTAAGGCCTCCGCATCCGATTGTGGATTGCTGCTTCGCTGCTGCTGCTTGGCACTCGGACCGCCTGATCCAATAAGCGTCCGATCACTACCGTTTTCCTGGCTCAGACCAAGTTCGGAACTTGTGATTGGCCGCGCCACCGAGAGAATGGCGACTCCGATCGGTTCTCCCCGTGTTCCTTCGACTGTCGGTTCTTCACTAGTGACGCCAGTTGCTCGGGATGTCGTGGAGCCCGATGATAGTGCCCACGCATCTCGCTGCACTGCGCCCGCCTCGCACGCTTCGCTCGCTCGCTCTGCTTCGCTGCTTGCTTCGCCGCCTGCTGAGGACGATCAGAGAGCTCAGCATCATGCGCCGCCTTTGCCATGCTCTGCTGCTGCTGCTTTCGCAACGCCCGGCACGATGCCCGCCGGCATGCTGCCTGCTTCTGCCACCGCTCGTGCTTTGCCTTTGTTGCCTGCCTTTTCTGCGTCCGCTGCTCCTGCTGCTTCCGCACCTGCCCTTCTTCCGACCGATCTTTCAGCTTGTCCTCTGTCCCTTCGCGGGGATCCAGAGGGCGCTCGGGCCCTTTTTGGGTCCGGGCCGGACGGCCGTGGTCCACCGATTTCGGACCCGGCGTCCTTCCGCCCACCGCGCCCCGATTCCTATGGGCCGGTGGCTGGCCGCGGTGGAGCATTGCTCCCCGATGTGCCCATGAGCGAGCATCCGGGTGCACCCCATGATTCCGTCGCACCGATTACCGCGGCGGGTCATGGTGGTGCCGCCCCCGCCATCGATAACGGCGGGTGGCATACCGGACCCTGTGCTGTCAGGGCCCCGGTCGATGAAGCCATTGGGTCGGAAGCATCCGCGCGTATCGCCACCGATATTCTGGCGATCGCGCAGGGTGTGACCGACACCCAGGCCGACCTCGATATACTGAGGAACGGCGTCTCGGATGTCACCGAAGCGCTTGAGAGCAAGATCCGAGACATGTGGGAGCTTCTTCAGGCCGAGTTGAGGAAGGAGCGTGAGCTGTTCATGCAGTTTCAGAACTCTTTCCGCGAGAGGCGGTTTTCTGATCACGAAACGCTTGAAGATCGTTTCGCGAGGCTCACCTCGACGATCAATGATCGACTTATTGAGTTCGATGAGCGGATCCATCAGTTCAACGAAAAGCGGGCTGGATCGCTATCCATGCAGCTTGCCGAAACGATCCGCCACATCAAGCAGTACCCAGACGCGCTGAGGCAAATTCAGATCAATATCTCAAATGCTGAGGCGCGTATCGCTACGGTTGAGCAGAATGCTACTCACCGTATCGAGGTCATTAGAACCGAAATGAGCCGTGCTCTCTACGATCATAAGGAGAGTAACCGTGTGCTCATCGATCAGCTCACCGCTCGCGTTCAGCATCTTGAGAGCTCTCATGTCCGCAGGGGTGGTTCTGACATGTCAACGCCTTCGCGTCCGGAACGGACGCAGTTCTTCGACATCAGTGACCATGATGGGGATATCCCACGTCCCGCGGACTTGCCGCCAGTTCCTGGTGCTCTATTCCCTGGCGGACCGACTACAGCCATTCCGAGATCTTCTTTGCTGGGTCCGATTGATCATGGCTCTCCGCCGGGATGCAATGCTGCGCCTGCTGAAAAGGCCTCAACGGTGCACTCTCAGACGAGTGGCATCAATCTTGATGACATTCTGAGACGCGCGCAGCAACGAGTCGCTGCTGATCAGCCTTCTGAAAGTCGCGGGCAAAATAATCCTGTTGAGCCCGTCCGACAAAATTATGGCCAAACGTCTGTCTCTTTTTCAGGAAGATCTCCGATTCCGACCGTTCCGTCCGCAAATGCCGCCGGAGCGACATCCGGCCAAATTCCGAGTGTCAGACCTTTCCCTGTCGATGATGATCTGGCCAGTCGCAGTGGTGTCCGCTATGACCCTGAATCCCAGAGATTTGCCCCAGAGCCCAAGCGGAGCCCCACATTTCCGTGCCAGATCTCATATGATACGCGAACTGTTCCGGCAGGAAAGGGACCTTCAAGGTGGTATGATGCAATGCTTGGCCGATCCAATCTCATTGGCAGCGGTTCTGGTGCACCCGTTCTTCAAAGCGGGACTGGTACCTTCACGCTAGCACCGAACGCAAGCGTCACTGGGACACTGCGACCTGCTGCCACTGATGATGTCGATGGATGGACTATGCCTCCGATGCCCACCTTTAATGCTAGAACATCCGCTCCTGCACCCAGTGCTGCGCCATCCGGATTAGGCGGACCTCCGTCCGCGCCTGGCGGTGACGGTGGCTCTTCCGGTGGTGGTGGCCCCAACGATAACGGGGGTGCATATGGAGGTGGATTTGGTGGACATGGACACCATGGGTCCGGCTTCGGCCCTGGTGGCGGTGGTGGACCGCCCAGTGGCCCGCCCAGTGGCCCGCCCGGCGGTGGTGGCCCTCCTGATGGGAATGGCCCGCCTGATGGTGGACTTGATCCGCCTAGCATCAGGCCCTCCGGCCGGCCGAGTGGGAATGACACTTTCCAGTGCGAGCGCTGCACCGGAACTTTCCCGAACACTGTGCGGCGATCGTGCATATCTTGCCGATTCTCGTGTTGCAATGGATGTTGCCGAGATCCTTTGAGAATTTGTCTCGTGTGTCTTGAGAGACAGACAGGGAATCCGCCTGGTCCCAACGATGCGGGATTCGGTGGACCCAAGGGCGACGGATCGCTGAACGAGGCTAAGAAGGCAAAATGCAAGTCCTTCCGACTCGATCCCGAACCCGAGCCTGCTCAGTTGCGGCGTTGGATCGTCGACATGAAGGAGCGAGTTGCAAATGCATTCTCATACGATCCCGGATACGCACTCTCATGGGTTGAGATTCCCGATGGCACACGATATGAGGATCTCCTTGATGAGTGCAAGTATGGAATGCTTGAAAATGAGTGCAACTCTGCTTTCCGTGAGTGCGTCCGATCTATTGCACTTAAGAGTAAGATCCAGACCGAAACCGAGCGCATGCATACGATAAACCGGCGACTCGGAAGTAGGCAGATCTTGTGGCTATTGTATGATTTCCTTCGGCCACATGTTACTGGCGATTCGACTTTCAAGCTCGTTGACCTGATGAAGACCACGATTGATCGGTTTACTCATGGATCCGAGCAGGAAAGGCTGGAGGCATTCTCCAATCGGTGGGATCATGTTCTCGCTGGTATCTCTGTCGATCGCCCCGAAGATCCTGTCCTCTGCGCCCTCTTTTACGAGCAGGTACGTGAGTTCCGCTGTCTCGAGCTTGACATGCAGCTATGGGACAGAGACGTATCCGTACGGAACTACGCATACCTACGAACTGTCTGTGTCAATGCGATTACAACTTGGCGCCGACGACGCAATCAGGAGAAGATGTACACCGCTACGAGGTCTACTTCTGCGCAGAGACGATACGCCGCTCCTGCGCACGGCAGCCCGCACAGATCTTCATCCCGAGGTCAAAGGGGATCAAGATCGCCTGGGCGTCGTGACTCCAGGAGAGCGAGTCCGTACCGAAGGAGCTCGCCGAGGCGCTCGTCACCCAGACGATCCTCCCCGCGACGCGGATCGCCAAGGCGATATTCCCGCAGTCCGGGACGAGCGGCTCCTGCACCGACTCGCCCGATGTCGCGATCCCCGCGAGGACGGGAAATCTGCTACGATTTCAAGAAAGGCAGATGCACGCGAGGAAGCGGATGTAAGTTCTCCCACAACCTGAAGGGAAGAAGCTCCTCGCCGAAGGGTTTCCCGCCTCGGTCGCAATCACCGATTTCGAAGGAGTCCGGTATCTGCTTCTACTTTGCACGAGGCACTTGCTCGAGAGGTGACAAGTGTCCTTATAAGCACGTGAAGCCGAGTGCCCCAGCTGAGAGCACTCCTGCTGCCGCTCCTGCGCCCGCTGAGCCCGCGCCGATACCTAGGCGGGTTGACAGTCCGGCGCCCACGCCCGCGGATTTTTGAAAGGGGCGTGCCGCAACCCTCAGGCAATGACAGCATCCTCCTTTGGAGACTTCGCCTTCGCTTGTGTTGCATCATTCGATATGGCATGTCCGTCAGTCACGCGGAAGACAGTATCGTTTGGGAATACTGAGACCCGCGTGATAGAGTCTTCTTTCCCGGAGCCAAACTTCAGTCCTGTCAATCGCGAGAGGAATTTGAACTATTCGTGGCCGGAAGATATCCGTGGTCTGAATAGTGCTCGCGAGAGGCGAAGGGCACACATGAAGGCTGTGCTTTGGCGAGAGCAGGTTTTGCTTGATGACGTTGATGCCAAAACGCTAGGAAATGATGCTTGTGTTCTTGAGCTCACGCTTTCTCAGCGGAGCGCATGCGAGGTCTTTGCTGCTGCTGTCAAGTCTATTAAGAGGGTCCGGAGACTGATGCTCGATTCCGGTTGCGGTATAGACCTTATTGGTCTCGGTGATCTGTCCCGCGAAGAAAGGGATCTGATAGTTCAGAATGCTAAGATCAGCCTTAGGACCGCCAATGGAAAGACTAACACCAAAGGCGTTGCGCATATGCGCATTGACGGCCTTGATGAGCTGATTGAAGCATATGTGCTGGAAAGCACACCAAGCCTTCTTTCCCTAGGGAAGCGATGCAAGGAGCTTGGGTACCGATTTATCTGGGAACCATTTTGCGATCCGATATTCTTCGATCCCAAAGGGAGACAGCTTAAGATTGATGTTATCAATAACATCCCCTACCTCGCTCCGAGTGAAACCGAGGTAGTGGCGGGTCGACCTGATCTCCCCCGTGTCTATCCGGCACTCCCAGCACCGATCATTATCCACGAGAAAATTGTGGCTGCGGGTGAAGAGCCTGTGGGCGAGCTGGACGAGATCGGAGAGCTCGATCTTGATATGCCCGGTGCTAAAGGTGATCAGAAAGGCGCACCTGACGATAACAAGAAGGTGCCCAACAAACCCAAGCATCAATCGCCGCCCGATGAACCCAGGGCGCGCGATCTGAGGGAGGAAGCTAAGTCCATTCGTCACCTCATGACCCATCTCCCTAAGAATCCCTACTGCGATGCATGCCAACGTGCAAAGATGGAAAACGTTAAGTCGTTTCGCCAAGACTCACCACGCGATAAAGGGTTTGAGAAATTTGGCGAGCATGTCACCATCGATACTATGGTGCTGCACGGGCTTGGCAATCGCGGGAATAATGGGGAGACAGATGCTGTGGTTTTCTATGATCTAGCGACTGGGTGGTTAGAGAGTGTTCCCGTCAAAGGGAGGACGAATGCCGACACGCTTCGAGCGTTTCAGCAGGTCTTCGGCGATCTTCATGATGTGAACTCGTTCTCCATGGATGTGGAGAGAAGGTATGCACCTTCTGCGATCCGGGAAATCTACTGTGATAAAGCCCGTGAGTTCATAATCGACCTGCAAGAGGGTCGGCATCTCTGTAAAACATTCCACTCCTGGCATGCCTCGCACTAATGCTATTGCCGAGAGCAAAGTAAAGCTTGTCCTTCATGGCGCACGAGTGGCGCTTCGACAAGCGGGCCTTAGCGCCAAATTCTGGCCTTATGCGTGTAAGCACTTTTGTCATGCTCGCAACATCGAGTTACGCGAAGGGCAAAGTGCATATTCGCTACGATTTGATGGCGCCGAATTTGACGGTCAGATTCTCCCATTTGGATGCCTTGTGGACTTCTACCCCACGCCGGCACGGAAACAGACCCGGCGTAGCCAGAAGGATGAAGTCGTGCTTGGCGATGGTGAGGAATATGCCGTACCTGCACCTGGGGATGACGGATTGGTCGAAGTCGAAGTTGGATTCGATGATGATGGTTATCTTGAATGGATTGACGATGGAGATGACGATCGATCTGGATCCCTTCATGGACCCGACATCGATCAACGCCTATCATCCTACCAGCGCCCCAGTAAGTTCTCTCCCACGAGCAAACCCGGCATATTTCTGGGTTACCACTTCGAGAATGGGGGCAAGTGGGACGGTGACTATATGGTCGCTGACCTTGAAGACTTCAAACGTGACGCACTACGTGCAAGCGTCCATCAGGTCAAGAAGATATACTGCTCACCCAAGGAGCAATGGACATTCCCGATGCTGGCCGTGTACGATAAACAGACACGATCAGTATGCATCAACGATCCCGCGATGCACTCGAATGTGCCGAAGCCGAGTGAGCGTCTTGACGCATCCGATATGCTCGATCTCGAAGATATTGATGAAATCTTCGCCCTTGACGAGTCAACGCGAATGACCGATGAAGACATTCGCCAGGCTCGCGAGGCTGAATTGCGAGCAGAATCCTCTCACGGAGGAGGTGCTGACTACTGGGAGTATGATCCATCTGCGCATAAGTGGACGTATCACGTTGTTGTTCCAAGAAAAGCGATGGTTCATCCCAGTAAGACTCCCGGTTCCATCGGGGAGTCGCCTGATCCATGGAAGCTAAGCACGGTGCGCATATCACATGTCCAATACAAGGACAAAAGCCCGGTTACGATCTATGAGACCGGGTATGCCTTCGGCAAGACAAGGCTCATGCAGCTCTGGACCGGCACTGTCGAATTTTATGATGATGGCTACGCCCCACCCAAGAAGAAGTTACCTCCTTACCACGGGTCGGAGATCCTGGAGGGCGAGGGGGGTTTGCCTTATCGTCAGAATGTGCCGCGTTCCGAGCGTGCCTATAAAGGGTCGCGAAAGCCGAATTCTATCGACTCAGAATCCTGGCGCAGCATGAACCGCGCCGAACGGGAGGGATATGTAGAGGCTGAGCGCCGGGAAGCTGAATCTCGTGCCATGTCCCGTGAGGATTCTCGCGATGCCGCTCCTGTTGACATCGCTTATGATTCAGATTACGAGTCGGGTGCCGAACGGCATGATAAGGATTACTGGTATCATGATGTCGCAGCTGGCACGATCACCCGATTTCATGTGATCGAACGCCGAACGCGCTTCAACCCTACTTCTGTCAAAGACTGTCCCGTTGATCCTGCAACATTGACCGACGTCAGGATGACTATGGCCATGACTGACGGCACCGAATTTACCTTGCAGGACTCGTGGAGATCCTCTGACACTCGATCTCTGCCGTGTCGATGGACAGGAAAGACGGTCTTCGTTATCGGTTCTTCCGCCAAAACGCAGATTAAAGTTCGAACCCGTGTACCGAACACCGTAAACACGGGGCGCCGCGTGCAGACAGCGAATGGCTATTATGGACACGCATTGCGTGCAAAGAGCCGTGCTGTCGTGCCTGCCAAATCTCGCGTCTGCGTTGTTACGGATCTTGAGTTTGAGCCCCCGGGTGGTATGTCCGCCCGTCTTCAACCGCTCCGCGGCAGTGGCCTCGATGTTTGCCCGGCCATGTACACATATAATGAAGGGGCAACTCAGTCTGGTGTTGACGTCTTCAATCCTACTGACAACGATGTCGTAGTCGAGCCTGGACAAGACGTTGCGGTAGTCCAATTCTACACATCAGTGCTGGCAGCGGTTGAACTCGGTTTCACCGCAGACGATGTGGGAGATGATGTTTCTGCACCGGTTGAACCGCCAGATGACGGTCAGGCTATTGATACAGCGCCTGCAATGCCTGTTCGTCCTGATCCTCATTCCCACCGATCTCCCGATTCCTCGGTCTTCTTCTATAGTGCGTGTGTGGCACGGCCCGTTGATCGAAAGGAGCGTGCCGCCAATCCCAAGGCGAAAGCCGCCCTTGACAAAGAGTGGAATAAGCTCATCAACCAAGGGTGTTGGGACTACGCATCCGTGCGTGAGTGGCGCGATGTATCTAACGAGGCTGTGTCGAAGGGAGAAACAGCCCATGTTGGCCGTATCTTCGATATATGCGTTGAGAAGAACTCCGAACTTCCGGAGTCCGATCCTAATCGCAAGTTTAAGGGTCGCGTGGTGTTTGAAGGATGTCATGTCAAAGACGAGGGCAATAATTGGGCTATTTTCTCCGAGATCACGTCTTGCCCGGCGACCATGGAAGCTGGAAAGGCCGCCGATGCTTTCGGCCTTCTTCCTGGTCATGAAATACAGGTTGCCGATGGTGAATCTGCATATACCCAGGCGAAGCTTGGTGGACCGGCCACGTGGGTCCGTTTGCCCAAGGATCGATGGTTGCCCGAATGGCATGGCAAATATCACGATCCGGTCGTACGCCTAGTGTTGGCTCTTTACGGGCACCCGGATGCCGGTAGTTTCTGGGAACAGCACTGTGAGAAGGCTCTTCGTTCCGTTGGGTTCGAGCAATGTCCCGACTGGAAGAGTGTGTTTCGTCATCCCAAACTTAATCTTATGCTCGTGGTCTACGTCGATGACTTCAAACTCAGTGGACCAAAGGCCAATCTGGCCAAAGGGTGGGAACTCATGGCATCCAAGATTAAATTGGAGCCGCCCTCGAGCATCAAACGTTACTTGGGATGCGAGCATGTTACCTTCTCCCACGTCGTTCCTAGTGCCTTTGATCCGCGATCCTATTGGACGCGCTTCGAGGAACCCAAGAAGGCGTTTCCCGAGCTGACTTTTGGCGATCGAGGCACCAGTGCCGCGCAGGGCTCTGTTGGTCCTCGAGAGATTCGAATGATCAAATACGATATGCGGTCATTCATGGAACAATGTGTTTCTCGCTATGTTGAGCTCTGTGGTCCTAAGTATAAAGCCACTTTGCGATCGGCTGACACGCCGTTCCTCGACGAATCGCGACCGGAGTTCGACACCAATCCGGATCGCCCTGATGTAAACCGCCTGATGGGCCATCCCGTTGACACGCCTGTCCCTCCTGGTAAAGGCGTTCTCGGCGATTGTGCAGCCGCCGTCCTGATGAAGATCTTGTATGGTGCTCGCATGGGGCGATACGATTTGATTCGTCCGGTGCAGGCGCTTGCCAGTCTCATCACCAAGTGGGATGGCTTATGTGATAAGAAACTCCATCGACTGGTGTGCTATATCAATTCTACCCTCGATCTCAATTTGTATGGGTGGATTGGTGATGCACCCGAGATGCTGGAGCTTGTGCTCTACTGCGATGCCGATCTTGCGGGTGACCGTACCGATTCCAAGAGCACCTCTGGTGTCTTTATGTGTCTTCTTGGGCCGCGTAGCTTCATGCCGCTTAATGCATTGTCCAAGAAGCAAACTTCCGTGTCGAAGTCTACCCCCGAGGCCGAAATTGTCTCTCTTGACCACGCTGTGTATAAATTGGGCCTGCCTGCTCTGTCTATGTGGGAGTATATGATGGGCCGCCGTTTCCAATTGCGGGTCATGGAGGACAATGAAGCCGCTATTCGTGTCGTTATCACTGGTCATAATCCGAACATGCGTCATATGTCTCGTACCCAGCGTATCGATATCTCTGCTTTGAACGAACGCTATCACGCTGGGGATTTTCTATTCGTGACATGTCCCTCTCAATTCGAGGCTGGTGATATCTTGACCAAGGCCTGCACCGATGCTAAAGTGTGGGGCCGCAACCTTATGTCTATTGGTCATTTTCGTAAGGGTACTCTTATTTCCTCCGGTATGCTGTCTGCCGCTCCCGCTCTCCCTGCTCTCCCCTCTGTCTGTCCAACCAGGGGGGTACATCTTGAAACCGGTCACAGCCCCTTCAACGATTTCATCCTCGATATGTCTCGTCAGGGGGGTGTTTCAATCGATGATGCTCACCAATTCGGAGCAGCAGTAAAATGTATTCATATCGGAGGCGAAGGCATAATCCGATTCCCTCATGCTCGAAGTATCAATCTCAGTCTCGATGATAATGCAAAAGGGATTGCTATTTCGAACATCAGGGTTCCGCCTACGCCTGCGGTATGTATCGTCACTGTTCCGATTGCTGGCAACGTTAACAAAAGAGAAGCTGGTTTCAAGAACAGGGGTTGGAAAGAAATGAGGGGCGACCTGAAGGAAAAAGGATGGGAAGCCAGGAAACTACTCGGGTATGCGTCCGCTGCCCGCTCGTCCGGAATCCCTGTGCTTCTTGTGCTACCGAAAGGGAACCCGCTGTGGGGTAGGGAGTATATACGACGATGGTCTGAGTCGCATGAGCTGTGCCCTGTTAAACTGTGCTCGTGCTCCTCTGGTCGATGTTCCCAGCATGCATGGATGTGTGAGTTTTTCATGCCCGCCCGGTTTGGGCCCGTTTTCATGTCACGATTTGCATGCAATCACAAGAAAGCCAAGAGGGCTGACCCGAAGGAGCTTCGATTTGCATTGTGGACTGTGCTTGAACATTTCATGAATTCTGCAATCTTTGGCTCACAGCAATCCGCGTTGCCGATTGCTTAAACAAAGACGCCAAGGCCATGTTCACAAACACACACTTGCACACTCACACTTGACTACAGCTTGGTAAGGAGCTCTAGGAACGATGATCAGAGATCACCTTCATCGACCGACCATCACAGACCACCTCTACTACCACTTAATCTATAGCCCACTTGCGCTCCCTGCTAGGACAGGTTGTAGCTGCCACGGGCTGCGAACTTCCCCGCGCTGCCGCCGCTGCTGACCGATGGCAGGAAAGAACAAGCAGCCACCGAAGAAGGCTGCTCCCAAGGCATCGGCTCTCCGATCACCCCAGCCGAAATCTCCCTCGCTATGCAGGGAAGGCCTTCCGAGCGGTCCGATCGCACCGACTACGGAAAGGCCTCCTGCTCCGCCGATTCCCACGGAGCAGGATGACTCCAACATGGGTACCGATGATGTCCCTGTTCCGATTCAGACCCCGAGAGATGAGTCTACAGGGGGTGGAAAGCGCTCCGAGGACGTTCCGATAGGATTGAAGATGAGGACGATGATACTGAAGATTGGGGTCCAAGAGATCCCCCAGGCCTCAATCTGGCAACGCCTCGAGCAGCTGACATGCAACTCTGGGTACGAGTTTAAGCTGCATCAGCTGGTTGACTCCTTCCTTCTCACTACTCATCCGCTTGCGGATAAGCAGAGGAAGCAGTACCCCCAAGAGTTTATGGACTTCATCGACCGATATAGGGTGATGTGCGCTCTTGCATTTTCCCAAGTGGCGAGGCTATCCGGTGACGCTGCGGGGGTCCGCGAGAAAATGGACCTTACGATAGCGCTGGCTCGTCACTGTATGCTTTTCCAAGCGCAAAGCTTCAAGGGATCCCGAGATATGCTGAGCAACGATACGCTCCAGCTCATGGGAACCTGCTACATCCCGTCGCCTCTTGCGAGCTGGAACCGAAATCTCATGGGATATAGCAGTTCGACTGCTGAACAGCGATGGCTGAGGACCGATACGAGTATCAAGCACAATGACCTCACCAGGCTGTCGCCCATGGAGCTGTCAAGGGAGGTGGTTAGCCAAGCTGAAGCTGTGAAGTTCTTCAAGGGATTTCTGCAGCTCAGGCCGACGCTATCCTTCATCCCTGGCACATTTCTGGCACTCAAGGCGCTTAACCGATTCCCCACGCTGGACTCTTTGAAAGAGCAAGCGACTCACCTCGATAACGATCGCAAAGAGCACGGCTACGATCTCCCTGCCGTGGATGCGAACGGGATCGGGGAGGTGGCCGCCTTCCGCAACGAAGACGATGATGAGAATAACCCGTTGATGCGCGGATGGGTCTCATTTATGAAAGCGATGGTTGAGACATACCCCGGCCGATGTGTTAGCATCGATGATACGCTCAACTGGGGAGCCAGCACCCCCATGACCTATGAGGACGGTGCGGGGCAGACTACCATTCGCCCGACTGATGGATGGGTGTATGTCCCTGCGATGAATTCGGACATATACGATCCTCAGGAAACGTTCCTTCACGGAACGAACCTCCGATATCTCTGGTCGATTCTTGCGCACGGAGGCCTGTTCGGGGAGGATTACGTGACGGACGATCATGGAAGTCACGAACCCTGCGTCTGGGTGACTGGAAACGCTTCCGAGGCTGCCGGTAGCTACGCGTCTGGCACATACCTCGGTGGAGGATACTGGTTTCAAGTGATGATCTGTGTCTCCCGGACTGTGGTGAACACCCACAGTCGCACGACAAAGAAGCTGGGAGGTTCCCAGAAGCAGATCCGAGTCGGAACTAGATTCCTCGAGCTGTGTGGAATCGCGTTTAGGCCCTTCCGCCTCCTGGATGACCGCGAGCAAGGGGTCTCCACATCTCCGCACTATGTCATCCATGGTCACCGATTCCTCAGTGCTGACGGGACAAAAGCCGTGGCCTGGCACCCGTGGATGGAGGCGAGCCCTATCGATCCTCGCATTCTGAAACTGCTGGGAGAGAGCATCGCCCGCGACAGCGTCGAGTTTGCCGACCTCACGGTTCAGGGGGGCAACAATGCTCAAAAGGTTGCTTCTACCGAGACAGAACAATCTGGAGCGACCGCGGCCGATGATCAGGCTGCGGGGGGTGGAAGCGAGGCGACGGATCGGATCACTGTCAACCCGGTGGTGCTTCGCCGCAACCACTGGATGCCTGACTCTTATGGGGTCAGTGAAAACGCCACTATCGGTGGTAGGTATGCCTTGCTATCCGAGCTTCAATCCTCTAGCTACCGATTTGAGCTTGCCCCATTCTTCCAGCTTCGGGCACCCATCATGGGAGAGGAAGGAAGCCAAGGTTTGCCAAAACCTGCAAGGCTCGAGACAATTGTCGGAGGACCCTCCAAGGAGTGGGAAGCCTGGTGCAGACACTACCGAAAGGCATACGGTGTCATGCTCGGGAACTTCGGCCACACGTCCGCAAAGAGCACCAAGAATATCCCGTACGCCGAGGAAGGCACAACGGATATTGTTAGTGCACCGATCTGGAGCCCGGCCGATGCACTTGTGGCAGTATCGATCCATGGGATCAGAACGGTCACGACCATGGCCTCCACGATTGCATTTGGGGGTGCACCGCCAACGATCAAGCCGGCGGTACCCAGCAAACCGCAGAGATTCATTGTTATGCACGATGGCCTGCTGACCTTCAGATCTACCAAATCCTGGCACGATGGTGAAATGAACGCCCATCTGAAGAGCGCGCTGGGGGACTTTGGGTTCCCTGATTCCGAGGTGCGCGTGCAGGCATTTGGCGAGGACAACAACAAGCTCCAGGATATGGTCGACACTCTCGCGATGATGCAGAGCGAGACATCCGTCCCGCCATCGAATGTGCACGTCCTCATCCTTTGGCGGGGAGAAGATTTGTGGAAGATAGATCAGGGCTGGAACAAGCTAACTGGCGACATCAATATGGCACGATCTCAATATGCCAAAACGACCGCTCGGGATGCTCTCGAAAAGTTCAACACGATCTACGGATCGGTGTCCCTTTGCGGTCCAGTATCGCCGAGTATGATATATCTTCCGACTCTCCCTGGCCCTCTCTTCGAGAAATACAGAGAGGAGATGAGATCGATCTGGGACGCGATGAGGAGATCCAACCTGCTTACCTTGTCGTTTGACGCTATCCTGGAAGGTCTGCCATACCTGAAGGGGTATCATATTATGCACGAATCCAAGACGATTGGGGTCCTATGCACCCGCATTTGCTCGATGTTCACTCTAGCAGCTCTCGCGCGGTTTCCGTCTTACGGGACCCGCCGGGAGTATGAGATTGCTGCCGATAAGATGTGGGCACGAACCCCAGTTCCGGAAGAGGTCTCGACGGGCGCAGTGAAGGCCATTGTGCACTCCACTGTGCAGGACCTCATCGATAGTGCAGACCGCGGCGCCGATCATCAAGCCGCAGGGACTGTCGATATGACTCGGCTCGGGTTCGACGATGACGACGACGACGAAATGCCTGACGACGTGGGTTCGACCGCCCCCGGGAATCCGATCAAACAGGAACGGGGGACGTTAGCGGATCTACCGGGCGTTCGTCATCCGGATCCGATTGAGCTTCCGGCTACTCCTGTGCCTGGCGAAGCACTGCCAGTATCACCTGGCCTTGCTCCGACTGCCACGAATAATGATGAATCTGGCAGCAGTTCTGATGAGAGCGATCAGCAAGGGGATGATGACGCGGCGATGTCCGCAGTCGCAAAGGAGGAGTCCGATGAGGAATTCAATGAGCTTCTCGAAGGAATGACCGATGAATTCGCGAAAATGCCCACTCCTCGAGATGCCGAGCGAACTGTCGCTGCCAATCGGGACGCTGCTCGGCCGCCTGCCGTGCCCTCGATTCCTCTCTCTACGATGAAGAAGCCGAAGCCGGTTGGTGGCGAGGAAGCCGCGGGGCCCACCGCTGACAATCGGCAAGCTTATGCGCACTTCGAGAGCCAAGTCAGTGAAGCTGAAGCTCGCCGCGAGCAAGCTGCGGCAGTGAAAGCGCATATCGCTGAAGTGGCGAAGGGCGCCACCGGTGTTGAGAATGCCGAACATCTCCGATCCATTGCCGATGGGCTAGCCAGGGTCATGGACCCGAACATGAGCGATGACAACGTGTTTCAGGGTGCCTTGTATCCCCCGGGTGACTATGCGCTTGACGCTGTCACGAACCGACTGGCTCAAGGCAGACGACGGGTCGAATCGAACAGCAATCTCATCAGGGAGATGGCCAGCGACCGATTCACGCCTGTGCTCATCAACCGAGACACTGGTGAGACTGTATCTGCCATCGATGCACGATGGACTCCAGAGTATGGAAACAGGGGGGAGCTTGAAGCTAAGGTTGGTGCGATCATCTCCAACCTGGATGCTGTGATTGCGAGCATGTCAACCCTCCCTGTGTTCCATCCGCACATTCCGTCGACGTATGGTATGGCTCGATCGCTTCTCAACACATACCAGTCGTTACAGATTGCCATCCGACACCGTGGCATGGGTGCGATGTCCTTTGAGCAGATGGTATTCAAGCCAGAGGACCTTGAGGTTCCGACCCCCGATGATTGGCCGGACCTTATCGCGCCTACCCCCGGAAAGGTCATTCAGTCCATGCGAGTTGCCCTGGTGAATAACACAGCAGCGAGGTTGACGAGAGAGGACCTCAAGCTGCCGCCGGGCTTCGCCATGCAGCGACGAGTGACCGAGTTCCGCAAACCGGACGAGGATCCGGTGCAGAGCCTAATGGGGCTCACCGATGATTTGAGCTATGGCTCTATTGGCCGAACTGGGGACGACAGATTGTCACAGCTCCAGCGCAGTGTTGCGGTACAGCTGCGAAACACTGCAGGTTTCATTGCAAACGAGTTCCAGAGGCATGCTCGATCTATTGCTGCATCCTCCTCGCGTCGCAGTGACGCCTCAGGTGCTCTGAGTAGTCAGGGCGAAGGCGCGGCGGACAACGATCTTCCGTCCACCGACCAGGCCAGTGCCGCTTCTATGCGCACAGCACAACCGCCCCCGCCAAGCATGGCTCCTCCTCCTCCGCCTACAGCGGCGGCACCTCCAAGGGCGTCCGAAGAGAGTGCAAAGGAGGATGACGATGACACCAAGATGGATGGTGACACGGCCGATCAGTTGCCCGAGCAGAAACCCGAGGAGGACGCTGATATGGGTGGCGGAGAGGAGCTACGAGACGAGGTCCCCGGCAAGGCCCCGCCTCCAGCTGCCCGAACCGCTGAGAACCCTCCGGAGACCGGCGTGCGTCCCAGTCCTCCGAACGTCATGCCTGCTCAGAGTGCCGTGCTTTCAGGTGCTAGGGGGCCGGAGATCGATATTGATCCGGCCAGCACCACAGCCGATCAGGCGGCAAATGATCCGAGAAACTGCCGGATCGAGGGCCCTGGTATCAAGGCGACAACGATTCATCGCCCTGATCAGCTGCCCGAAAGGGGTATTGACTCCATTGCACCGATCGTACAGTATGAAATGACGTCTGTCCCGATTGCATTGCCAGATTTCGTCGTTCCGGGACTCGACATGGGCATCGATGACTCCGTCCATGGTCGATTGGTCTCCGCGACCTGTCTCCCACCGACTGACGAGCAGCGCAAGTATTCGAGGCGCCGATTCGCGATGCTGTCCTCGAATCAGACAGTGTACTTGGATACAGCGCTTCACAAGAAGCCGCTCCAAGGAGAATACGATTCTTTTCTCCGACCGGAATCTTATGAGGATTGCCGCGAAATCCATGAGGCTGTCCGAGCATACAATGCCAAGGAGGCGACGTACCGATCTATCGGCGGAACATCAGTGACATGCAGCCGATTGCTTATCGATGACGCACAAAACATCCCTGCCGCCAGGATTCCGGACGCAGGCATGATTAGTTTGGTGCGTAAGCTGCTGTTCCGAGTGCTGACGCAAACTAAGGAGTACCCCTCCTCGACTGCCGTCAAAGCACAGAATCGCCCCCAGGATCAAGAGAGGGGCGTTCCACTGTATTCTTTTCTCGACCAGAGTGGCATCATCGCTTTCGATGTCATTCCGCTGTACATGGAGCGCGAGAGGGAATACATGAAAGCCAACGCTGGAGAGTTCAGCGGCAAAACGCTTCTCCAGACTAGCATTCTGGACGATAACGATAAGCCGAGTGAGATCACCGTCCAATGCATTTCGGAGATTGCTCGAACGGACAACAACCGAATGTTTGAGTTCTTCTACTCGACGATCAATGACGATGGAAGTCCTCAGTTTGTTGGCATCCGAGCTACCTATGGATTCGGTCCCGATAATTTCAACCGATTCCGACTGCTGACCAAGTGTCAGCACGGGCCGTTCACTCAGCTCGCTCATGAGCACTATGTCAATGGCGAGAGGAAACGAAACGTGGCCCGCTATCATCCCCAGTACGGATGGGGATGCGCTACGATCCGCGAGTTCTTCGGATACATGACCGATTGCAAGCTCAATCCCCCAAAGGGACAGCTCTTCCTCACACTGCTCCCGTTTGCCCCTGGATCTGGGAAGAACAACGAGTGGGAAGAGGTATACATGAGTGTCCGAATGAACCCGGGACGCGAGACGCTCTCGAACACCGCGTCATCGCAAAGCATGCTCCCCGAGGGTATGGGATCCAACCGCATGATTGTGTTTGCGATTGATTTGCACATGATTGCGGCAGGCATCAATCCGATTACGTTCCATCCGAGAGGGTACTACGCGATCAAGGACAGTATCCCCCTCGCATGTATGCCGATTGCATACTTCATGGATACGGGATCTCTAGTGTTCAACACGGCCTTCAAATATATCCGAGGCCCGAAGTTTGGCACCGGACCCAAGAGGGGAGACCACAGACGAGAATCGTGGCCACTCGCTAGCTTCGACTGCCCCATGTGCGGAGCTTCATTCCCTGTTGGTCTCCACATGTGTCACTCTTGCACTAAGCCGATTCACTATCCTGATGGGATGTTCTATGCCGATCCTGTGAACCCCTTCCAGGTCGAATACTACGGAAGTCATGCTGAGTGGCTCAATGAGCTGATCGAACGAAACAAGCTTACCGAATTCAAGCTTCACGAGTTTCCTGCGATCAAGCAGCTAAGGAATTTCCCGGTGTCTAGGTCCCTCGCTGAGGATCATAGGCAGACTGCATTCTTCGGAGTGCCACCGATCAAGTGCACCGCAGCTGACACATCAGCGAAGGAAGTGGAACTGTTCAAGAGAAGCGTGCGCGGTACGATTCAAGGCGCCATTCGCTTGGACATCTCCATTGAGAGACTCGTTGCTGGTATCACTGGCAAAGAAGCTCGATGCGGAGTAGAGGACTTCCTCAACTCACAGTCGATTGCGTGTGCTGCCACGATTGCCAAGCATTATGGAGCGGTTTTCGCCACCTGTCGCGAAAAGCCATTGTGCTACTATGCACGTTGGTCGATCCATTGCCAACGAGCATATCGAGTCTGCCTGTCGCGAGGGTATCTCTCCCCCTATTACACAGGTGAGACGGTCAATTATACCGTTGACCAAGAGATGGCAGAAAGGATCCGACTTGCTCATCTGCCCCTGCAAAACGCCAATCTGGCGATGAGGCGGCACATTCGGCTATCCACCGAGTTTGGAACGCTGGATGAATTCCGTGCCACTATCACGGATACGCGAAAGTATCAACGATACATGCGTGTCGACAGTGAGAGCCTTTCCGCGCTCCTGGCCAAGGTTACACTTACCACATGCTACGGCATTCCGACAAAAGGTGAGCCTGGCTATATCTCTGACGATGAAGCAGAAGAGATCGAAGGAGCCGCAGCGGCAAGCCAGAAGCCCAAAGGGAAAGGGAAGGGAGAGGATGAATCCAACGTCCAAGCCATCAACTGGCGCGAGTTGGATCCCTTGGGACGAAAACTCATTCCGCATCATTCCGACCCCAAATTCGCGATTATTGCTGAGGGGAATACGGCACTCCTTGATGCTGCCGAGACGCCGGAAGAGACGCGTAAGGAATTCAAGGAGTTCGTCCGCGATCACTCTATGAAGATCAAAGAGTGGTTTGACGAAGATCGTGCGACAGAGAAGACATTCTTTAATCTTGTTGAAGGAGTAAAGGATCAGCTTCCCGATGCGAAGAGTACTGATCCGCTTCTGATGAGCAGGGCTGAAGACGTCTTCGAGGCTCTCCCCGATGAACTGGAAGATCCTCCGAGAGTGTTCGATGTTGCGGCTCGCCGGGCGCGACAGCGAGACCCAACGCCTCAGCGCAGAGTGCAGGTCGCCGATCAAAGACAAGCACCGATTCCCGAGGCTCATGCCGTTCCCATCCCTACGGATGATGAGGACGAGGATGATACTGAGCTCGAGCGAGCGGTGCGTCCCGATCCAACGACACAGCGCACCGGACGAGAGCATCTTGGAGGTGTTGCTCCTGAGACGGTTCCGTCACCGCCTCGCAGCATGCCGCCGCCATCGAATGTGCCGACTCGAAAGTCACAACGGCAAACAGGCTACGGCGCTGCTCACCCTGATGGAGAAGCATTAAGGGTGACGGGGAGGACACCATATTCCGATCAAATGAAGTTGCCCTCAGTACTGCGGATGAAGGTCCGGGTCCCGGAGTCAGATCTGGATAACCCGACGATTGAAGACATCATTCGCATGTACCATGCACCGAACACGCTTCCCATCATCAGGAAGAAGGCCGCGAGCGTCATTATTGCGATGGGCGCGAATCCTGATGACGATATCAACATGAAGGCTGCCGGCGTTACTGTTCCCCATACCGAGAATACAGGGACGGGGCGAGCCGCATCGCCCGGGAGTACATCTGCTGCTACACAGGAGCGGATTAATCCCCAGTTCCCGGCACCGAGCGTTCGCACTGCGTCGAATCCGCCGTCGAAGTTGCCTCGCGATGAAAAATGGGCTCCTTCGATTGCGCGACCGGCGCCGGCTCAGGTGATCAAAAGTGCAGAGGCACGGGGACGCACGCAACAGCGTGCTGCTGAAGCGACGGATGCCGCACCACCACCTCCTTCCGATACTGCCTCTTCGGAGCCAAGATCTCGAACAATGGGTCCGGCCAGAGAGACCACGGCTAAGGGCAAGTCCCGCACCGGGTCCAATGTGACAGGCCTCATCGATGAAACTGATGACACAAGGCAGCCGACGAGAGGCAAAGGAAGAGGGAAAGCCGAGAAAGGAAAAGGAAAACAGGAGAAAGGCCGAGGAAAGGGCGATAAGGGAAGCAGAGGAAGGGGCGGTCCTGGACGAGGAAATAAGGACCGTACCCGTAGCCCCACTAGTCGTAGGTAACGACCGACGATCTATGTAGCGACGTATTGCGTCACTGCAGGGTGAATCCGGTTGAGTCTTTCTGACCCATCCTTCCTGCGTCTACAGGGTCAGGCGGATTCTGATGGTGAAACCCGGCTATGACACAATTTCCGCTACTTCCTCAGCCTTCCTTGCCTGCGCCGCGCTGAGAAGACCCACAGGGGTACAATGGCTAGCCATGGTATTTTCCTCGTGTGTCCCTCTCTTTTCACGGACACTCGATGCTGCCGAGTTATACTCTGAGCGCGTTGAGTCTAGTGTGTTACCCCCGCATAGATCCGATGGAACATCCGATTGCCAACGATCACACGGCAATTCGCTATGCGCCTGACGATCACAAAAGGCTGCGTCTGTACAGAAGTGAAACATAGGTTTGAACCGGATGCAGAGACCGACCCACATCTAATGGCTTTTATTGCTTTAAGCTTAGCTGTCCGGAAGAGGTGTGGCTCGGTGCACAATCAGTGTACGTGACTCTCCTAAACTCCGCTCTCCTCACGCGTGAGCTCGCGTCGAGGGGGGTGTGATTTGTCACGGACATGCGTACATGTGCTTCTGTGTCTTGGTTAGGATTCATGCCAACTTTGTCTCACTACGCAGCTTGACTGCTCAAGGACCGCTTTGCGAGTCCCAGGAAAAGATCCGCCTTCACTTGGGAGTGTAGGTGCTGTCTTCTACCTGAGCGTCAACCTTACGGTTTTAATCTCTGATCATCCTTGCTTTGCCTTGCTGCTTTGCTTTGATCTACGATTGGTTGCCTTGGGCTTTGTGACCGAGAGTTGAGTGGAATCCTCCGCTTTTCACAGATATGAATAGTTGAATAGCCCTGATCTGTATTCAATTCCGTGACTTTCGGCCGTTTGTGCTTAATTCATCATTGGTCCCAGGCCTTAGGCATGTTCACAAAGACCAGGCAGCTGAGCAGAGAAGACTCGACGCCAAACGACCAACTGACCAACTGCATGTCGGGCTTTCTTGGGGTTTTGCAAGCGCACATCCTTCTCTCCCCTGTCCGGTTGCAGGCCGCCGGTGTCTTCAGGGGATCCCCGAAGTTCCTGAACAGCAACCAGGCCTCTCTCCTCTCTGCTGAGAGCGTGGGCCAGCTCGCCATTCCTGCAGCCCGGCCAGGTGCTGCTATATCGCGGGAGTGACGAGGACCAAGACGGCCCTTGCTGGCTGCTGGACTGTGTTATCTGTGCACAACGACGACGATCTTAAGGAAGGTGCGCTGGTATCAAAAACCCAGTGACGGGATTCTGCCTGATCCGAGGAAGCTGTCTTGGAAAGAAGATGGCGATGACGATGAAGACAGTGACGAGGCCTTGCTGGACGTATCCTGTGCTTGCGACGTGTCTCATTTCGCCGGCAGGCGAATGACCGCCTGCTGCCAGAACCCCGGACCGGAAGAAGCGAACCTGCAGTTCATCCGCTGGAAAATCTCGGGGTGCCACGAGCTTCGAGGCTGGAACGATTATGGTCGCCAGAGGACGTTAAGGAGGACGTTGCAGACCACAAAATCGGGTGGACTGCTCGCACAATAGATGCGCACTGGGTCTGGGAAGCGAGCGAATTGGAGCATGGCAAGGTGGGACTTCAGCCAGAAAGGTGGAACCTCCTCTTCTCCGCCTACTGGGTCATGGACACGGGCCAGGCCCTGAGATGAAGCTTAAGGATTTTCAGACCCTAAACCGTCGAACACACTTGGACAACAGCGACGTGCAATTAAGGAGAAAGGTGTTGGAATTTGGGGAAGCCCGGGCAAGAACCCGGCAGGAGTCTCAAATCTCCCAGACAGTTTCGAGCGCTAGATTGTGCCGTTTGTGCAAGGGTGAGTCATGGCGCGGAATGTAGAAGACAGGTTCAGGTCGCGAAGATTGACAATCCGCCTCTGACCTTGCTTCTTTCAGCCCTGGGACTCGCCAAGAAGTACATTGTTGAGTTGGGGGCTGAAATTGACTGTGTACTAGATTAAATCCCGGCACTGCCAAGCTCAAGCGAAAGACCTGTAGGTACATGGTGCGGTGGCTGATGGAGGCAACCTGGGAGAGGCAAAGCTTGAAAACGATCACCCACTGCCAACTAAGTTTGGAAGCATTCTTCATGATCGTGGGATCGGAAGGTTCAAATCTATAGACCTCTTCTAGAATCGCAACTGACATATTCCCTGACGTATTTATCTTCGGCGGATCGTCGACGTCTTGTTGCAAAGCCGTTGCTTACGAAGTGGTTTTGGGAAACTGAGGCACGGTTCTTTGCTGCTCGATACTAGTTTACGCGCCTTAGTGGTGTTCTAGTTGTTCATTGTTCGTGCGGGCTTTCTCGTTTCTGGTACTGATTGTTTTCCCCAGTGTTTGCTCTGCGTCTTTTGGCTGACCTCTTTTCAACTTTGTTTCAACATTCATGCGTTGCTATTCTCTCGTGCGGCTACGTCCAGGATCTGGACAAACAGCCGGCTACCAGGCTACACGAATGCTCTTGTAACTACAGCTCCTCCTTGTTGGGAGAGTGCTGAGATCTATACACGACCGACTGAGTGACATGGGGAACTTGAGCTTCAGCCATCTTGATCAGCATCATCATCGTCACCGGAGTCATCAAAGTCAAGGTCGTCATCACCACCGCAGCCACCATCGTCGTTTGTCACCATAAGGTGGCGGCCGTGTGCCGAATAATGGTTTGCCGTACAAGTGAGGCAGCCTCTCGTTGCAAGCATTTCAGAGCGGTCCGGAGTCCAGATAGTCAGTGACTTCAGAAAGCCTAAGATCTCAGAGACGACTCACTCTCAGCTTCATCCTGATGCGGGACCGGAGGCTTAATGCACAGACGTTCGAGCAGATACTGGCCACAGTTTCAGCCTCAAGTATCCTTGCCGCTAATACTTGGCTGTCACATGTGCATCTTGCCTGAAGGCGATTCTGCTGGATATTTCCCCACTGCGAATGTGGAGATCCTACGGTCTTTCCTCTGGGACAGAAGATGTTTCTATTCCATCGGTGGTCTAAGGCGATGCTTGCGATTTGCCGAGACTTGCAGCGAGATCCGCTCAAGGTGTGATTTCTGCGGTACAGGCACAGGTTAAGAGACAGTTTCAAGACAGTCCGCGCCGCATGACAGGTACGACGAAGGCAGCATCACAGAGCCTCTAGTGGCGTTTGAGCTGCAGGCCATTGCATGCACGTCGTTCTTAGTGCTGTACTTGATGTTGATGCATGTTGAAGGCACAGGGCTTCAAGCCCTCCATGTGGTTTTCTTCAATCTTGGGACTGCTGGGTTACCTTCACTCTCTTTGGCGGAGTTCCTCTCGCATGAGACCATATGAGACCTTCTCGTTGCAATCTTTGTTTACAGTTGATGGAATGCCTACGACCTACAAGCCGTCCTTCATGGAGCTGCCAGTGGTAGCGTGACCATGTGCAGCCACATCTTGCCGTCCTTCCTTTCTTGGTCTCGACTGTGATTGGGACAGAAGCGTTGCTGAAGTCCCTGGGTGTCCGGAGTCAGGCTACTGCAGAATACTAGCCCTCCAGGCTTTTGCAGAAACAGTCTTTCATTTGCTTCCTTGCCCCTTGGCTTCTCAGACGCGCAAGCGTTCCTGGCTCATGCGTCTTGCATCTGTCAGCTGCAACATCTGCACAAGGAACTATAACCGTGGTTGAGTGGTTGATCTTACCAATGGTGCTTGCTATCTGACTCTCAGTTAACGCTCCGTCGGTGTGCCTCTGTACCGAAAATGCTTGATCTTCGGTCTTGCACGTGATTCGAAGGATACGAAAGGACATTTGGTGCTGCCTTCTGCTCTCCGGTGCACACATTTTGGGAGCGATACGTGTCACCTAGTTCCGTATTTTGGATCCTGGATCTCCATGTTCTAGGAGCTAAGAGGGCTTCAAGGCGAAGTTGCGGTCACCGGAGCGCGCTTCAGCATGCAGGCAGTGTGGCCACAGCGTGAAATGAAGCGCCGCCGCGTCTTCTGAACGCCTTCGTTGCTCTTCTGCAGCGCCGCAGAGTGTGAAAAGGCCGAGGATCTGTTACTCAGACTCCTGTCCGTAGAAGGGCCCGCGCTGGCTCGAAGTCGGTCTCATTCTCATTGCCAGACTACAGCACTTTGCAATCCTAGTCTTAGAGTGGAGAAAAGTTCAGGCTGGCAGAGTATTGTGGAGGCGGCCACACGGTAGAGGGCTCTTGAACATGTAAACACTTGCCACTTTAGCCTTCGGGCTTCACTCGAGAGCAGAGGCTGACACCACACCCGACACTCAATACCTCCCCCCCCCCACCTGCCCCGACGCTTTCATCCCATTTCTCAACGCCTATTAAATCAACCCTTCCAAACCCACAATACAACACCAAAAGACAAAGCACCGCTCAAACCCACGCCGAAATCTCAAATACAATCCAAAAACCAAAGCACCTCCCACACAACACCAAAGCCCAAAGCTCAAAACAAAATTTGAAGTACCGCCCTAGCCGCAGAAGTTACATCCTATACCCCCCGCACTTTCACCCCGATTCTCAGCCCGTCTGAACAAACAACCCTTCAACCCACAATACACAGAGCAAAACAAATCAACTCACCAAAGCCAACGCAAAAAGATCCAAAACCCAACCCAAAACATAATGCACCTAGACAATCCTTAACCCCACCCATTCTATAACCAATATCCTAAAGAGGTCTGGGGTCATCGCCGCCAATAGAAACTGTGGCTTCAACCAAAGTTGCGAAGCCCCTCTCCCGATACCTACCTCCAATCCAGAAATTCTCATGTCAGCTCCGCTGTTCTCAGCATGCTGCGGGCATCAGTGGCCATGCATATTTGAAAGTTCACTCATGACCGTCTAGGTACTTCTCTTTGTCAGAGCAAGCTGGCATTCGGAATGGAATGGTGTGTCATTGCTGGTTGATGTGCGGCACAGCATCGCACAAGTTAGAATGCTAGTTGATTGAGACATGTCCCAGCAGTGCAACGTCGTCTGCTTGCCTGAAGTTTGTCCTAGGGACGGTACTTGGTCCGATGCAAGCAAAGACAAAGTCATAAACTCACATGGGCTTTTCTTTGAACCAGTTACACAACAAACAGGTGGACAAAAAGCCAGCGAAACGACAAAAACAACACAAAATATAACCAATACACAATAGAAGTAAGCATTTTCTACACCTTTCGGATCTCGTGCCTTGGATACCCTCTATATTGACATCGTTGCGAGACTGTGAGCCTCGCGGGGCATCTGCCGACTCGTGCAGCTACAAAAGTATTCTCGCCTCGTGGTTTCCTTTTCTCTTGAATGTTCTTCTGAAAGAATTCCCCAACAACTTCTTTGGTAATACTGGCATCCCTCCCTCTCTCGCTCGCTCTCTCTCTCTCTCTCTCTCTCTCTCTCTCTCTCTCTCTCTCTCTCTCGGTCAGATGTCTTTCAGTGTAGTCGCCTTGCTTCCAAGCCCCAGCGTAATATGGGTATGTATATACATATATATACATATATATATGTATGTATAAATATGTATATATATATGTTATATATACTTAAACGTCTTCTTTTATTACTCAAAGGACGCTTACATTGCAATAGAAGCAATACGCACGACAATCATCTCAATGATGTCCGCAATAATTGCATAGTCGCTGTGCTGTAAAGTTGCTATATAAGTTGCCTGGCTTCGCTTCAAAATTGAATGGTGAAGGACATTTTTCGCATCTGATGTTCAAATCTGTTCAAGCACCATTCGGCGGTTATGTATTCTTCATTTATCTCCCGCCCTGCCTTCCTGTCCTGTGATCTGGAGTTCTCCACCCTATGGACCTATTGATCAGATTATTGGCAATTCGTTTATCAAGCTTTTCGCCCCCTGCAAGACCTGCCTTTCTTAAAGACAACACAAGGAGTTACACTTGTCCAATGCCATATCCATTCTCTACATGCTGTCGGCAGTTCCCATTCGTGAATGCTGATGCTTTCCTCGACAATCGCACCGTGACTTGAATGACAGGTGGTGCCATATGAATACGAAGTTATTCTCAACAACCGCCTTAAACAGCATAGACGTATCTTCATCATTTGCTATGTACCGCAATGTTATTTGCGCTCCTACCTTGTCACTGCTGTCTCCACAATTCTGTACCGTCTGTTCTCATTTACCCTCGCCTGTTTAATCCACTGTCTATTTCGTGGTTGATCTGTTTAATCATTTTCCTCTGAGTTCAGTTGCAACATTTCGGCATCTCATGTTGGTATACCCAGTGTCCTTATGTCGTCAGTCATGTCAATATACTTGTCCTGCCAAAAGTCGCTATAGATGTTGTTCATGGTTTCCCTGTCTCTTCCTCCTTCCTCAGTGTCCTTCGCACCCACCCTGTTACAAACTTGCAAGGACATGTTAAATTTTAAAACTGTGCCTATACAGTTGTCCATACAATCAGCCGGGTTCTGGCAATTTGTCATAGCTTCCACTCCCTGCAATTGTTTAACAGCACTGGTTCAAACTACAGTGATATCAAGATTGTCCTTAATGAACTGCTTGAATTTATCCGAAACAGATAACTTGGGCATATAGATCTCATCAAACACCTCCACAGTAAAGGTGAGTATTGCTGAACAACTTGTTATAGGTTGTTGCTTCCACATCCTTTTCTTGTGAAAGGCTGGTGGATGGCATTAGAAATAGCACATTCTACTACTTTTGATAAGGTACTCAAGCCGATCACAACACGCAGCTTTTACATCCACGTGGCCATCAACGAATCCGAGCTTTCGTTCACAGAACTCATTCAGGGCTTGGCCACATAAATGGCTCCGCACATGATGCGTTACATGGGGTCACGTGCTCAACGCGACCTCTGTACGCGGAATGAAGACAGACATAAAAAATTTTTTGGTCCCACCCTCAACCGACCCTTTGACCAAAACATCGCCATGTGTCTCCGTAGCGCCGCTGGAACATGTTTTTCCCAACGGCCCAACAGAGACCCAAGTGAACATGTGGAACAGAATTCTTCAACAAGGAAGCGTATTTACAGAGCTTTGCTCTCAGCCATGAGGCTTGAGTCCCTTTGTTGAAAGATACTTTCACAAACACTTTGCGAGTCTTGGAAGACATATTCCCATTGCCAGCTCCTTTGAGCTTGTAACTACGCACTAACTTGTCAAAAGCAGCGAGGCTGTAGCCTCTTTGTTTGAGATTGCGTTTGAACTCTGTCAGGCTTCGCTCCGCATCAGCGCTGAGCCGATTGCGACGCTGACAACGTATGAACCCTCCAATTTGCAAGGATTTAAACGCAGCTGGAGGATGATTGCTACAAGCAGGAATGTGCAAGTGAAGATTTTGTGGCTTGCTAAAAAGACTCCACGTCACACTTCTATCATCCTGTATGCCCAGATTCACATCCAAATATTGAACTTGCCGACTAGCCTCCATACTTCCTGACAGCTCAAACTTCAGGGAAGGGTGCCATCGATGCAAAATCTCACCAAGCCACTGATGAGAACCGCGACATAACAGAAGCAAATCGTCAACATATCTGCGAATGAACTGCAAGAGCTCACCCGCTTGCTCAGCAATGAAGCAATCCAAATGCCAGAGATAAATGTTTGCAACGATGCTAGCAACCGCTAGCCCAGTCGGAATGCCGTCTGTACTTTCATATTTGCAGCCTTCGAACGTAACGAAGCATGCGCTCAATATCAACTCCACGGCACGAATCACGAAAGTGCACAAAGAATGACTTGGCATCCTCGTCCGCAGAAAACCGCTGATGACCGACAGGAAATGGCATCGATCCACTGACGGATACAAGTTCACAACGTCGAATGTGAGAAACTTCATTCCAGGCCTACACTGCACGGTGCTCAACTCTTCAAGCAACTGGTCGGTGGAAACCACAACAGATTGCAGCTTACTCAGCAGCGGGTTTAGTTGTTCCACCAAAAAAGTTGCAAACGGAGCCATCCAAACACCTCGCAAATTGCATATAGGTCTAGATGCGGTTGGGATCTTGTGGACTTTGACAAGAATTCTGAAGGTACCTGCGCGTTTTTCATGTAGTGTGCCGAGTAAAAACCGACTAATGCCATCGGAAAGCGTGCCTGACGAACGAAAAAACTGCACCAATGCATCTGCATGTTGTTTGCAGCCGTCCATCCTGGTCTGAAAATCGTAATCCGATATCTGTACAAACCCCTGAGAAAGTTGGGAATAAACTTGCTGACGAATCCATGCCCTCGACACAAGCGCATCTCCAAGTCCCTTGTCGCAGTCCACGACTGCAATGCTATCACGGTGTTGCGCAAGCCATGCCAAAGCTTTCCTATCAAGCCAAGACCAAT